GTTCAGGTGCAAAGTTAAATCTCTGAAAGTGAAATCATGTTGGAAATCTGGCATCATTCGACCCACTTCTTTCTCTACACATACTGCTGGACCTGCTGTGTTTCTCTCAGCACTCTTTGTTTTTGTTTGAGCCAGGTTGGTTTGGGGGCTTTGCACATGTACAGGGAGTATTGTGTGTAAGCATGTGGCAATCAGTATATTGTAAGAATAACTGAAAATGTTCCTCAATCCCTTAATGTTCCGCTATCTTGTGACTCCTGCTAAGGTGATCATGCATGGTAAGTCCTTGATATCTAGGACGCTGCCAAATTTCATTTAATCTTTGGCAATCACAGATTTTCACTCTTCCAGACCGTCTCAGCATGGCGCTCCTGGGAGACCAGGCCAACCTCTGGACACAAGGCCTCAATTGGGTTGAGGGTTGGTGGGAAGACAACAGAATGGCCACACAGGTAATTTAATCACACACCAACACAACCCTCCCCCCAAACTCACCAGTGGCAGAACTCTTAAATTAAAATCCATTCATGAAATGCTTCCTCAGACTCCTATCCAGTGCAAACCCTGTGGTGTCAGCTGAGATTCTAGCCCAACCTACACCTATATACGGGAGGCCTCAGTCACTGGATAAGAGACAGCTGGGTGACTCAGCCTGGAGTGAGGGGCAGGAGTGGGGAGTTAACGAGGAAGACCCAGATCAGAAGTGGGTGCAGCTCCAGAACAGTCCATACATTGTGCCCGTTCTCTCCATTTTACCTCTTACAGCCCACCTGCTCCTGCTCCTGCCAGCCAAAGCAGTGCAAATGTCTGAGACATCATGTCACTTATGCTGAGAGATAAAGTCCTTCAATCTCTCTCGAATTATTCTCACTGCCTCCTGGAAATGCTGATAGCAGCACGCGCACACACACACACACACACACACACACATTACCCAAGGTGGTTTGCACATTGCCTTTTCATCAATAACCTCTGAGTTCAGAACCTACATCCAGATGAGCAGAGCTTGCAGTGCAATGTGTTCTCTACCATGACTCCTCACTGCTGTCCTATTTCCATGTGACAATCTGTAAAGACAATGTCTTTTTGTTTTCTGCGTTTTTGATTGTGGACGGGAATGGGAAAAGAACTGTTTAAAAACAAAGGATTGTTGAAATGTTACTGCACCTCTTAAAAGCAAGTAACTTGACACTCTAAGTATTGCTTGTCTGTTCAAGCAGTGTCAGAAGCCTAGCTACAGACGAAATGAAACATTCGTCTATGTTTTAATGGAGGTTTGGCTGGCAACAAGTTGCTGCTTGGTCTGTGAAATGGTGCCTAGTTATCAACAGCAAAGGCCTTCTGTCAGCCAAGAACTGTGTGATTGGCTCCCAAGAAGCTGAACAATTTTGGGGTGAGAATGTTTGGGGCGGAAACCATCAGATGTCTGGGAGGGAATAAGCTGTGCCTCCTCTGCAGTGAAAAGCATTTCAAGCCTCAAGATAACCAGTTTATTTCTCCTATTGGTTACTGCAAACAGTAACTTAATTAACAAGTTACAAACTTTTATAGATGTGACCCGGTCACCTTGTGCCTTCTGCAAATAAGTACTAGAAATAAAATCGAGAAATAATATTCTAATCAGAAAAGATTGTTTCAGATTTTACTGCCGACAAGGATCATTGAATTGCCTTCCACTGTCTTTCTCTCCATCCATAATCACCTCTGTTATTGTGTGGGACTATCTTTGTGTCAGGGAAGGTTTTATAAGGAAATTAGAGTTTTAACCAGTGCAGTTACAATTGTTTATCTTTAGGTAGAAAGTATTTATTTGTAATAAATAATTATTGATGAATGCAGAAACCTGGTTCACGCTTTCTGTCAACCTGGGTCTAAAAATCAAGTAGATTTCAGAATTTTGCACACTTTTAAAAACTTCTTATTTCTTGCGATGACTCTGGGAATAGCAGGGTTTGACTTGTGAAAATGCATTACCCCAGTGATGTGTAACAAACCCAAGTCTCTCTACTGCAGCAGTCATCGAGGTGTGTGTTTCTGTGCTGGTGGATGGTATGAAAGTGTCATGTGATGGTGCATCCTTACAGCGTACACCCCTGCTCTGAGGACTCCTAAACCTGATAACTCAGGAAATGCTCCAAGATTCACAAAGGGCCTGGGGGAAGCTGAATGATGGGAGCTTGTACTGACATCGAGAATGAGCCAGTTCAGTTAATGATGACATCAATTCAACATGAAGCATTGTTAAATGTGAACTGCCAGACCTCTTCATTTAATGTGGTCAGCAGGTTTCTAGGTCATCCTATCTCTCCATCACTGATGCCCTGTGTGACATTTTCCAGGGCATCTTCTTCCATTATAGTTAGTGTGGCCATAGCCATGGAATCCAAAGATGGAGTTTTGAGAAGGTGGCTCAAGGGAAATGAATGCGTGACCCTACCACTGTGTGTTTGTCAGGGAACTGCAATGTGGAAGAATTCTGGAGGTGAGAGAGGGTGATGATACTCAACCCTGAGATCACTAAATCTTTAGTGACAGTGTATCCAGGTGCCAGACATCACTGTGCTGCTGAACCTTTAACCGCCGAGCCTCCATGAACAGCTTCAACATGTTATAGCATCCACCTCACTTGACTAGGCACAACCAGGAAGCAGCTTGCTAGTGCCATTATAGAGTTAAACGGTCATACGTTTGCCTCAGTAGTTATCAGGTCTCCAACCATAAGGCCCATTACTTAGGCAAATATCCCAATTTGAAAACTTTTCCCATGGTGTCTAACAGTAATAAAAATGTCATGGTTAAACATAAGGAAAAGGGCAAATAAACAATTAACATAGGGAGCTTGATAAGTGGAAGTGCTCCTTCAGTTTAATTTGTGTAAACTACAAAGTTCCTGTGAGAAATTTAAGATACTTCACCTGAAAAGATCCAGCACACCGCAAAGGAATAAGTTTGATCCTTTTCAACCTACTCAACAGGATCTCAATGAGAAAATGTAGCTTTACAAAACTGAAGACCAAGAGCAATAGTTTGTGCAGTCATCTGGTAGGCCAATGTCCTCTGTCAACTCTCAAATCTTCTACAGCTAAAATAGCTTGTATTTATTTAATCTAGAAATTACTTTGACTATTAATTGGTGCTATGCAAGAGAGTATCTATTTTTCAACTATTGATAACGATCACATCTGGTTACCCTTTATGGAGTAACTCCATTGACGTTATTGAGTCATAAAAGAGAGCTATCGAAAATGTGATTAAAGGCTAGGTGTGATGTGCTCAGGTATACAATGACCGTTACACACACGCACACAAAAAAATAGGCCATAGCCTTGAGGAGCAGGAAGAATGCATGGGCAAATATGGGAGGCTCTGCCAAGAAAGTAAAAATAAGGTAATGCTTGAATGTATCACCCAGCACACCTCAACGATGTCTTAAGAAGTACCTCAAATTAAATGAAATGTTTGAGGTTCAGCGTTTGCTAGTATGCAGGAAAAATGCAGCAGCCTTTTTGTATAAAACATGAAAATGAATGATCTGTAGTTTTAAATGGTGATATGAGAAGCATTTCTGCAATACCTGGCTTCACATTCATAACTTATCCTTTTAATTACAGGTAGCAGCTCATCATATAGATCACATATAGACTTGTTCTCCTGAACATAGCCCAGTGATGGCTAAGATCAGGGCAAAAAACAATGGGTGAAGGAAGTCTGAAGCAGGGACCGTAAGCCTTTTATGTAAATAGAGTTGAGAATCTGGGATGCCTCCACCAATATGCCACTTCCAGTGTGGAAAACAACATGCACACCATCATTCTGTTAGACACTTTGGTGATTGGTGTTGAAAGGCATGAGCTAAAGCAGGACTTTGAAGCCCAAGGCGTACATTCCAGTGCAACACCAAAATATTCAGCTATATTTGGATTTATCAGGAGATATTTAGTTCCAAACTCTCTGATGACTTCCTTGCATATAAGAAAGTTACATAGAATAGGATTAGGCCTTAAATCTGTTCCATTATGCAATTAGATTTTTATCTTATCTTAACTCTTTTTACCCATCTTTGATCAAAATCCTTTTAAAAAGAATTGCCTTAAAATATTGAGATAACACAGTGGGGAGCTGGAGGTGCATAGCAGACCAGGCAGCATCAGAGGAACAAGTTGACATTTCGGGTCAGGACCCTTCTTCATTTCCTGAAGAAGGGTCCCAACCCAAAACGTCAACTTTCTTGCTCCTCTGATGCTGTCTGGCCTGCTGTGCTCCTCCAGCTCCACACATCTGACTCCAGCATCAGCAGTTCTCACTATCTGAGTCTGAAAGTATTTCAATTTTTGTCTTGAAAATTTTAATTGGCCGAGCTTCAATGGATTGCTGCTGAGGGAAGATGATGAGTGCCTGCATGAGGTTTCCAGATTTTCTTTATCCTTTGTGCGGCAAGTGTGCTTCTTGACTTCAGTTCTAAATGGATCAGCTTCAATTCTGAGATTGTTCGCTCTGGATCAGAATTTCCCCACCAGACAAAATCGTTTATCCACATCTCAAAATTTCTTTATCACATTAAATACCTTGAGAAGGTCACCCATCAGCCTTCTGAACTTGGTGAAATTAATTGGTGGAAAGAGATTAATCATTAAAAAGGTCAAATTGTACAATATAAACCATAGCAAAGAAACAAGACCACTGGGTTACTTCTATTTAAGACTAAATCGGTATTTCCTATGCCAAAAAATGAGTGCAAAGTAGCCAAAAAAAAAGAAGGCACTGCTCTGCATCCAATTTCTATTTTAAAAAAGGTGGAAAAATAAATAATTGAAAACTTGAACAACACAATAGATGAGTCAATAAAAACTGAAAGAACTGCAGATGCTGTAAATCAGGAACAAAAACAAAGTTGCTGGAAAAGCTCAGCAGGTCTGGCAGCATCTGTGAAGGAAAAAACAGTTAACGTTTCAGGTTCTGTGACCCTTCCTCAGAACACAATATACAAGTCAACAGTCAGATTCCGATAAACGAAGAGCGTTTATTTACAATATTTGCCTACATTCATAATAGTTAGAGTAGCAAGCAACCATTTTCTCCCTCAGTTAAATTTCTCAATAGTGCTATTCAGCTCAACAAGAAACAATACAATATTCCTGAAGTGTTTAGAACCAAATTGTGCAATGTCTGTAAACAGCAATCTCTCCAAAATTAGTGACATTAACAAATAAAAAGGTATTTTCAGTGTTATTCATGGTTGGACACATTTTAATGAATGTGACCTGGGTTATCTCCCTGTGCAGCAAATGTGAACCTTACCAGACAAGTGGCTCTGTCATTAAAATTATGAAGAAAAATAGAAAAGAGGGAAAAAATAAATGAGGAAGCAACAATAAGGAAGGACCTTGCTCAATGCAAATGACAGCAATGTCACTGCTTAATACTGATATTTTAGCTATTCTTCATTCTCTCAACTGCTGGTGCATCAGAATAATGAACTTGTTCTTTTATATGTTTTTGTTTGTGTTCTATTAATAAAACTGTATAATTAAAAATAATCCTTGCAAACATTTGTAAAGAAAACAGAAACAAACCTAATCTTTAAATTAACACTTTTTCCTGAAGTAAAATGTTTCTCTGCCGTGGCACTGACTGGCGGTAATCTCAGTTTCATCCTGCAGGAAGACAAAGGGAGACAAGAAAGAGGTGGTGAAACCAGAAAAGGAACTTAAGTTCAGTAGTTTATGTTTAGCATCCAAACAGAATGATCACATCCTTGTTGGTGTCCCTTCCAGCAAATGGTTCTGAAGCAGCAGTGTTTAAAAGAGGGATTTTGAAGGTGCCTGCGCTTTAGTTTTATAATACTGGGCTGGCGAGAGGTTTAATCTTCTAATATTAAGTTCGTTGGCAAATTTCCTTGCTTTCTGATAGAAATACAGTGACATTTCCCGATCCACAAGGAAATTGTGGTAGATGGTGGCAAGTCTAGTGCAGATTTTCAGCTGAAACTTCTTACTGCCCAAATCCACAGCTGCAGCAAGAGCTAAATGGTAATAGCCTGCGGCATCATATGGATCCTGAAATGTTTAAAAAAAAAAAAAAAAAAAAAATCAACTAACATGCATCACATTGTCTCATCCTTATTCAACATAGTCATATGGAAGAAAGCATCTGCAATAGCTCTCTTTTGAATGTAATGTTTTAGCACCAGAGTTTGTACTATTGCTGTGGGAAAGATACAACAGCCAAATTTTTACGCAAAAATTTAAATTTTCTCGAAAAGTCCCCCCTTTATTGTTGGAGGTCAGCACTATTTTCCTGTTGCATTTCAGCCCTCATCCATACTGTATGGGCCAGCCAGCTCTCGACACAGAGTTGCTGCTTATGGCATCAGTTGCTGTCACCATCCTCAAAGTGTAGAAAACTGAAAAATCTGCTTGGTCATATGTGGTAGAGGGAAATCACTTCCTGATCTAACTAGAATACTCTTGTAGATATAGTCAGTAATAATTATTGATATTATTAGGAGATTATGAGGAGGACCAGATCATAAGTCTCAAGCCTTTGAGATACTAAGCCATTCTGCTCACGAGTCCTTATCATACCATCACAGTAATGAGTGCTTATGGCAATCCTCAGATTCAACCTTTTCAGACCTACATACAGGATAAAAACAATTAACAGACCTTTTCTTGACATATATTTAATTGACCATAAAAATCCTTTACTGCAGCTTATGCTTGTGACAATCACAGGAATTTTTGAATCTAGAGAAATGGTATTTCAAGCCCTTCAAGAACTTTCTCTGTAGTTTTCATCTATTTCCTGGCAAAGTTATGGTGGGAGATCAGGGGATCCTTGTAGAAATTTCCATTGCTTATTGGTTGCACCTTAAAGTAATTAGCATGCATTCACAAAAGATTAATCATCACTCCCTCTATCCTGGATGGTTTCTTCAAAAAAATTAATAAGCTCTTATGAAGATTTTCCCTTCATGGTTTGACTTCTCTGCTATTTTGATCAGGATTCCACTTTGACAGTTCTAAGACAAATTTGAGATTATTAAATCTCAAACAATTAACTTGAGTTATGTCTTTATATTTTATTGGAAGCTTTGAAAGTATTTTTTCAACTTTTCTCTGGCCTTAGTATCTAAACATTTTCTGGTCATTAATTTGGACAGTGCAAAATTTAAAACCAGGGTCACTGTCCCACAATACAGGGTAGGCCATTTTGGACTGAGGAAACACTTCTTCACTCAGTGACCAACTTGTGGAATTTGCTACCACAGAAGCTATGGAGGCCAGTTCACTGAGTATATTCAAGAAAGAGATTGATCAATTTTAGATATTAAAGGCATCATAGAGAGAAAGCGGGAATATGATACTGAGACAGCATCAGCCATGATCATATTGATGGATGAACCAGGCACAAAAAGGCCAAATGGCCTACTCCTCCTCCCTGTTTCTATGTTAATTGCCCATCAAAGGCTCTCTGAAACACAATCATTAAGTTACGCCCTGGAGTGACAAAGATAAATTAGGCAATGTACAGCTTCTTCTAAACACAGAAAAAAAATAATTTTGCTTCAGAAATCCAACCCTACTATTATGTCGCAGTGCATAAGACTGTAAAATCAAAGTGGGAAAAAGGCAGACCTCTGCTCCCTAACCTAAAACTAAAACTATCTGGCTAGCTTTGTAAGTATTATATCACCATACCAGTACAGAATGTATGTACTCACTCATTCAATACTGCTCAGCCCAAAGCTAGGTCTACGGCTCAGGGTCTGCTGATGCTTCATCCGGAGGCATTTTTCCTGGCAATTTTTGTCTATGGTAGTTTGCCATTGCCTTCCACTTCCAGGAGCAGGGCAAAGAGACAGTTCCCAAGTCTACCTTAGCCGCAATGGGAATTAAACCCATGCTACTGGCATTATTCTGAACCATACATTATCCGTTAAGTGCACATCTGTAGAGGCCAATAATCTGTTTCAATCATATCACTACAATCTTTATTCCCTGGACTATTCCTTTTCTTACCTTAAGATCACAAAATGCCATTTCTCCCAGTTGTACATAAATCCTGACAAAGTAAATTGTCTCCTCATCAAATTCCAGTGGACAGGGGTAAAGGGAAAGTGCCTTTAGATAGAAGTGCTCAGCCAGTTCACACCGACCAAGGGACTGATGTACCAGTGCCAATCGATGATAAGCAACACGTTCATTAAGTGTGTCTCCTATTAAACAAAGGAAAATGTATGTAGTAAGTGTTTCAGAGAACAAAAGTAACACAGGCAGTATTACAATACTTAGAAGGCTCTCTTTTTAACGTTACATTGAGATCGTTGATATTGGGAGGGTTAAGTGCCGCTGCACATTACTGCTTGCACACTGCAATAGGGCCAGAGATTTCTGGCCCTTTCAATATACTGCTGCAACAACGCCAGATGAATTTCACTGATACTCAATGCTGCTGAACACAGATTTCCAATGGATCTTCAAGGCTTCCTATAGTTGCTTCATATCCAAAAAATTCAAAATTTTATTTGATATTTTGTTGTAAATACTTTTTGAAGACAAGATGGAGTAAAGTAGCAGCACTACATCAGTTGCTCTTCCAAACCCTACCCTGCATTAACTAATAATAAGTGAACTAACAGGTGAATTCTTGATGGAACCACATTAGATAATGTAAAGTATTAATGCTTATAAAATTCAGACTTGAAGTGTTGATGTATGAACCATTAAATTGTAAATGCCATGCACAAAAGTCAAAAGGAAAAAGCACAAAAAACCCCACATGTAACTACAGGCCATGATGTGGAGGTGCCGGTGTTGGACTGGAGTGGACAAAGTCAGAAGTCGCACGACACCAGGTTATAATTCAACAGGTTTATTTGAAATCACAAACTTTCAGAGCTTAGCCCCTTCGTCAGGAGAAGTGAGAGATGCATTCAGGCACAGAATTTATAGGCAGAGAGATCAAAAGGATCAAACAAATGGGGTGAGTGAAGTGTCGAATAATAAGTCTCTGTAAGTGATCAAAAACATCTGACACACATTACATCAGAGGGCTCCCGACAAGGTAGATATGAAGAGGTTATTTCCCCAGTGGGAGAGTCTAGGACCACAGGCGCACACAATCTCAGAGTAAGAGGTCACCCATTCAAGGGAAAGAAAAAATGGAATGTTTCCTTTACGAAGGTAGTGAAACTGTGGAATTTGGAGGGCTGTTGAGGCTGGGTCTTTAAGTACATTTGAGGCCGTCATAGACAGATTTTTAATTAGGTTTATGGGGATAAGGCAGGAGAGTGGGGCTCAGTTTTATCAGATTAGCCATGATCTCACTCAATGGGCCAAACAGCCTACTCCTGCTCCTATATCTTACGGTTTTATGAGGCACAATTTAGCATTTAAAATTAATTACCAAGCTGTGAAGTTACATGGAGGAATAACTTTTGTTTATTACATTAGAGTGCTGGGGCAGAAAAGGATATTGCCAGTGTAGATTAAGTGATCAGAATGTGAGAATGGCAGAACAATAGTGTGTCTAACTGCCAGATTTGAAAGAACACAGAGTTCACACTGGGGTAAGGGGAAATGGAAGACAGGACATGGTGACAGAGAATGTAACATGTAAAGCTAAAAGGGAGGAAATGGGAATTGGCTCACAATTTAAAGGTGTTGAGCTCAATATTAAGTCCAGAAGGCTGTAAAGTGCCCAGTCTGAAAATGAGATGTTGTTCCTCCAGTTTGCGCTGTGATTCACTGGAGCACTACAGCATGCCAAGGACAGACAGGTGGGCATGTGAGCAAGATGTGTTAAAACAACCGGCCACAGGAAGATCGGGGTCATACCCAGGGTCTAGTCCGCATTTGGTTTCCCCAATGTAGAGTAGACCACATTGGATGCAGTGAATACAATACATGACGTTGGGGGTGGTACAGGTGAAATACTGCCTCACCTGGAAAGACTGTTTAGGCCCTTGGATGGTGAGCAGGGAGGTGGTGAAGGGGTAGGTTTTGCACCTTCTGCGGTTACTTGAGAAGGTGCTGTGGGAAGGGCTTCCCTAATCTTGCCTGTCTTCTACCACAGACCTCTTTTATTCTTTCTCCACATTCCCCTCTTTGACTTGGATAAAACTGAAAACATTTCTAAATTCTCCCAGTTTTGATGAAAAGTCATCAACCTACAAATGTTAAATCTGCTTTTCTCTACACAATGGAGAGACTTGGTAAGGGAGGGTCAGGATTGGCAGCTTAACATTCCAGGATACAGATGTTTCAGTTGGGATAGAGGGGGATGTAAAAGGGGTTGCACAACTTAAGGAGAATATCACAGCTGTACTGCAGGCAGACACCTCAGATGGCTCTTAAAGCGAGGCAACATGGGTAGAGCTAAGGAACAGGAAGGATGCAATCACAATATTTGGGGTTTACAACAAGCCTCCCAACAGCTAGCGGGAGATAGCAGAACAGATATGTAGGTAGATTTTGGCAAGATGTAAAAGTAACAGGGTTGTTGTCATGGGTAATTTTAACTTCCCACATATTGACTGGGACTCAGTGCTTGGGGCGCAGGTGAACAGAGAACAGTACAGGCCCTTCGGCCCACGATGTTGTGCCAACCTATTATTCTACTAAGATCATTCTAACCTGCATTCCCTACATTTTATTATCCTCCATGTGCCTATCCAAGAGTTGCTTAAAAGTCTCTAGAGTATCTGAGTCCACTACCGCTGCCAGCAGTGCATTCCACACACCCACCACTGTGTAGAACCTACCTCTGACATCTTCCTTATACCTTCCTCCAATCATCTTAAAATTATGCCCCCTCGTAATAGTCATTTCCGCCCTGGGAAAAAAAAAAAAAAGAAAGAAAAGAGTCTGACTATCCACTCTATCTATGCCTCTCATCATCTTGTACACCTCTATCAAGTCAACTCTCATCCTTCCTCGCTCCCTCAACCTTTCCTCATAAGAACTGCCCTCCAGTCCAGGCAGCATCCTGGTAAATCTCCTCTGCACCCTCTCTAAAGCTTCCACATCTTTCCTATAATGAGGTGACCAGACCTGAACACAATATTCCAAGTATGGTCTAACCAGGGTTTTATAGAGCTGCAGCATAACCTCACAGCTCTTAAACTCAATTCCCCTGCCAATAAAAGCCAACACACCATACACCTTCTTTACAACCCTATCAGCTTGGGTAGCAACTTTGAGGGATTATGGACATGGACCCCAAGATCCCTCTGTTCCTCCACACTGCTGAGAATCCTGCTAGATGGGGCAGATTTTGTAAGGAGCATCCTGGAGGGCTTCTTGAAACAGTATGTAGATAGTCCGATTAGGAGAGTGGCCACACTGGATTGGGGAATGAGCCTGGCCAGGTGGTCAACATCTCAGTAGGGGAGCAGCTCAGGAACAGTGATCACAATTCAGCAAGCTTTAAAAAAGGTACTGATGGATAAAGATAAGTTTAGCTGGTCAGGAGAAGGTACTAAATTGGGGGAAGGCTAATTACTACAATATTAGGCAGGAACTGAAGAATGTAGATTGGAGGCAGATGTTTGAGGGCAAATCAACATATGGTATGTGGGAGGCTAAGTGTAAGTTGGTGGGAACTCCGGACCAGCACGTACCTGTAAGGATGAAGTATAAAGATGGTGAGTTTAGGGAAGCTTGGATAATGAGAGATATTGTGAACCCTAGTCAGAAAGAAAAATAAAGCATTTGTCAAGGCTAGGAGGCTGAGAACACACGAAGCAGGGTGGAATACAAGGAAAGTCGAAAGAAACTTAAGCAAGGAGTCAGGAGGGCTAAAACGGGTCATGAAAAGTCATCGGCCAACATGATTATGAAAAATTCCTAGGCTTTTTATACTTATATAAAAAGGAAGAGGGTAGCAAGGGAGAGGATTAGCCCACTCAAGGACAGGGATAGGAATGTGTGTGTGGAGCCAGAGGAAATGGGTGAGGTATTAAATGAGTACTTTGCGTCAGTATTCACCATAGGGAAGGACTTGGTGTGTGTGATGGAGTCTGGGGATGATGTGTCGATAGTTTGGATCGTGTTGAAATCAAAAGGGAGGAGGTATTAAGGGTTCTGAAAAACATTAAAGTAGACAAGTCCCCAGGGCCTTTTACCCCAGAAGACAGAGCGGCAAGGGAGGAAATTGCTGGGGCCTTGAGAGAAATCTTTGTATCCTCAATTGCTACTGGGGAGATCCCAGAGGATTGGAGAATAGCCAATGTTATTCGTTTAAGACAGGTGGTGGGGATAATCCAGCTAATTACAGGCCATTGAGCCTTACGTCAGTGGCAGGGAAATTATTGGAAAGGATTCTTCAAGACAGAATTTTTACTCCCACTTGGAAACAAGTGGGTGTATTAGCAAGAGGCAACGTGGTTTTGTGAAGGGGAGGTAGTGTCTCACTAACTTGATTGAGTTTTTTGAGGAAGTGACAAAAGATGATTGATGAGGGTAGGGCAGTGGATGTTGTCTACATGGACTTCAGTAAGGCCTTTGACAAGGTCCCTCATGGCAGGCTGATATAGAAGGTAAAGTCCCACGGGGTCAGAGGTGAGCTTGCAAGATAGATTAAAAAACTGGCTCGATCATAGAAGACAGAGGGTAGCAGTGAATGGAGGGCTGTGGCTAGTGGCATTCCTCAGGGATCAATGTTGGGACTGTTGCTATTTGTAGTATGATTTGGAGGAAAAGGTAACTGGTTTGATTAGTAAGTTTGCAGATGACACAAAGGTTGTGGAACTGCGGATAGCGATGAGGACCATCAGAGGATATAGTAAGATATAGATGGCAGTTGAAGTTTAATCCAGAAAAATGTGAAGTAATGCATTTTGGAAGGTCTAATCCAGATGGAAAATATACAGTAAATGGCAGAACCCTTAAGAGTACTGATAGGCAGAGGGATCTGGGTGTGCAGGTACACAGGTCACTGAAAGTGGCAGCTAAGGTGGAGAAGGTCGTCAACAAGGCATATGGCATGCTTGCCTTCATTGGCCGGGGCATTGAGTTTAAAATTGGCAAGTAACGTTGCAGCTTTATAGAACCTTATTTAGGCCGCATTTGGAATATTGTTCAATTCTGGTCATCACACTACCAGAAGGATGTGGTGACTTTGGAGATGGTACAGAAAAGATTTACCAGGATGTTGCCTGGTATGGAGGACATTAGCTACAAGGAGAGGTTGGAGAAACTTGGGGTGCTCTCATTGGCAAGATGGAGGTTGAGTAGCGACTTGATAGAAGTCTACAAGATTATGAAGGGCGTGGACAGTCAGAAGCTTTTTCCCCAGGGTAGAAGAGTCAGTTACGAGGGGGCATAGGTTTAAAAGATGCGAGGGACAAGTTTTAAAGGTGATGTACGAGGCAAGTTTTTTTTTTTTTAAACAAAGGGTGGTGGGTGCCTGGAAATCACAGCCAGGGGAGGTAGTGGAAGCAGATACCATAGTGACTTTTAAAGGCGTCTTGACAAATATACGAATAGGATGGGAATAGAGGGATACGGTCCCCTGATGGGTAGGGATATTAGTTGTGATGGGCAGCATGTTGATGCAGGCTTGGAGGGCCAAAGGACCTGTTCCTGTGTCATAATTTTTTTTGTTCTTTGTTCTAATGCTGCTTAGCCTGCTGGGTATGACCATTCTCTATGGTTACAAAACAGTGTTAGCTTAAATCCTTCTGTTGAATACTCACTATTGACAACCTAAAGGTGATAACTACAGGAATGCTCTAGTTTAAGATTAGGAGATGGATTTCGCAGAAATCAAAATATAATTTTAACTTCAACAAATGGAATGTTAAAATAAATGACCTGCTGTACAACAAGTTAGCCCATCTTCAAATATATACTGTAAGAGAAAGCAATTTGGGTGGTAAACCTAAAATACTTTACAATAAAGATTTGATGTTGCACGCATCTTTATCACAAATAAGCGGATACAAAACCACTTTGAGGCATCCCATTATGTTAGATGATCACCTCTTCTTTTTAACATTGAAGAAAGAAAATGGCTCATAACCAGGCCAAGAAGGTCAAGCCCATGCAGGGTGAGATGTGGACTGGCGAATACAAGGCCCCTCATGTGGCATGAGGGGAAAATAAAAGACATCTGGGATGCAATTGGAGAAGGAAGGATGTGGCAATGAAGGAAACTCAAAGAACAATCAACTGATTAAAAGCCTCATTGTGCTGTTCTCCTCAACTATCTCGTTACCACCAACACCAACTCATCATAAATCTTCACAAGTCTTTATCTCTTACACAACTAATTCCCTCTCTGCTCTTGTACAGGCACTAGCAGCATCCAGTAAACCTCCACCCTAAGAACAGGCCAACCCTGGAGACCCTCAGCTCCACCACCACTGCCACCTCTAAAAAAAGGAGGAAACCACTGAAGGTTACAGCAGTATCCTCCACCACCACTTCCTTGGTGGGTTCCCAATCTAGACTGGATACAGGTGCACAATTTGGTGGGCACATCACAGACACATCTGGTTGAGGAAGAAATACACCAAATTTCTGACACTCAGAGGACCTCCGGAGGCAGGGATATGCTCACCCCCAGGCAGAAGCTGACCTCTCAGTCTCAGCCAATAATAACCTTTTAAAAATACCCAGACCAACACAGAATCAGCAGGCAGGTTTGTCAGAGGCAGTAAGTAAACTGGAGCAAAGGATGGAGGAGTTACTGAATGTCGAGTGCTGAGAGGAGCTCCAGCAAGCCCACGGGGTATGCGAGAGGGTGCGCAGCAAGAGGGTGTGTGTGGGGGGAGGGGAGCGGTGTGTGGGTATGTGCATCTGGTTGTCTCCATGAAGAGGCCAATGAGCAGCATTGAGTGTCAGGTCGAGCATATTCAGTGTCTGCTGGATGTATGCATGGGCCTGCAGTCCACTGCCTGAGCCCTTGATGCTGAGCACTTATGTCAAGGCAAGAGGCAGGTCAGCTTCAGAAATGGTAATGACAGTGAACGTCAAGGATTGATGGATAGATTCTCTTTTGAAAGAGCGGATCATTGTAAATTGTGTGGCACGAAGAGGTTACTTGCCACTTATCAAACCAAATTTGAACTTTGTCCAGATCTTGCTGAATACAGACACCAACTGCTTCAGCATGAGAGGTGTCACATTTAATGCTGAAAGTTGTTTGCTGATGTTTGCACATCCTCAGTTCAGACTCTCATTGAGGGAACGTCATTGATGAATGCAGTTGAAGGAGGTCAGGCCTAGGACACAGCCAGAAGGAACTCCTGCAGGGATACCCGAGTTGAGATAATTTACATCCAACAACTTCCACCATCTTTTTTGTTTGGTATGATTTCAACCAATAGAGATTTCCCCCAAATTCCCACTGACTTCAGGTTTTTGGTGTCACACTCTACAGCCTGACATCAAGGGCAGTCAGTGACATCTCACCTCCAGTTCAGCCTTTATGTCCACGTTTGGACAAAGGCTGTATTACCTTGGCATTTATAATTAAAATGTAACTTATTTCGGAAATAAATCCATATAAAACTGCATGTCTTTGTTGTGATCCAACAGTCAACTTTCTGTAGTGTGCTCTGTAATCCAATATCTAAGAGAGAGGGAGATCTTGTCTCAACGCAGACTTCAGTTTCCCTAAAGCTTGGCTCTTGCCAACTTAGTTCTAATGTTAATCTAAAATTGTCTCCAAAAATAGTGTGTTCTGCCCCAAGAATTAAAGTCCAGCTCCCCGAGTTTTAAAGAGAATCTCCAAAGTAATTCAAAAGCCAAGATAAATTTGGACATTTCATCTATTCCACTAGGCTGGTTAAAGAATAAAATAGAAACAGAAAGCTTGACTTACCAAGGGTCACACTGAGTGTCAGAGCAGTTTGAGCATAATCTAGTGCTTCTGCATACGTCTTCACATGCAGCAGCAGTTCTGTCAGCTTGTTACAGAGCCTGAGCTCCACTTTTGCATTTTCAACTTTGATAGCAAGAGGAAGCGCTCGATCCTGTGAACATACGCATTAAATCTGAAAATTCGCTAACTGAATTGCAGCTTCATTTGATATGATGGCTTTACAGTATAACAGGCAATATTCATTCAATAAAATACTCTCTATATTTTATCCATGTAGGTCACAGAACATTAAAACCCTTGTTCCTCGAATCCCCTTATGTCTTTAGTATCTTTTTAAACTTTTTAAAAATGACCAATTCTCTAGTTCTTCAGTCCAGTGATCTAGACATATTGGAAAAGTCTAATTCTAACTACGTAAAACTTTGGTTCAGTCTCAACTAGAGTATTACAAGCACTTCTCAGTCTCATACTTTAGGAACTGTTACAATCCCGGTGAAGAACAATAACCTCCAATATCGGCTTTACTCAATGAAATTCCATAGAAACAGTCATCACCAAAACAATATCCGTCTGCAGAATCCTCTCAGTTTTGTCCACAAGTCTTCAGTCTCGTCAGTGGTAGAGGCGAGTACAATCACACCATTTAAAAGACATTTGGACAGGTACGTGGTTAGGAAAGGTTTACAGGGATATGGGAAATTCACAGGCAAATGAGAGCAGCTCGGTTTAGGAAACCTGGTTGGCATGGATGGATTGGGCCTAAGGATGCTTCCATGCTCTATGACTATGACAGGAAGGCTGATCAAGGGAATGATGTAGGGTTAGGGTTGGAAGACATCTAACAAAGTACCTCAGCCTCCTCCTAAGATCCTCAGTATCACAGATGCCAGTCTTCCACCAATTCAATTCACTCTAGGTCATATCAAGGAATGGTTTGAGGCACTGGAAACTGCAAAGACTATGGTCCCTGACAAGTGTCCATCAATAGTACTGAAGATTTGTGCTCCAGAATTTGCTGCTTTTAGCCAAGCTGTTCCAGTACAATTACAACATCTTCCCAAACACACAAAAATGCCTAGATGTGCCCTGTGTATATAAAAAGCTGGATATATGAAACCTGGCTAATTACCACGTCATCAGTCGATTCTCAATCAAAGTGATGGAAAGGGTCATCAAGAGTGCTATCAAGTGGCACTTGCTCAGTAATAACTTACACCCCAATAATTTGGCTTCTGCCAGTGTCAGTCCTAACCTCATTAAGACCTTGGTCCAAACATGGACCAAAGCGCTAAATTCCAGAAGTGACATGAGTGTGACTCTCAAGATCAAGGCCTCACTTGACCAAATGTGGTATCAAGGAACTCAGGCAAAATTGGGATCATTGGGAATTGGGGGATAACTCTCAGTTGGTTTGAGTTATACCCAGCCCAAAGAGAGATAGCTTGTTGGGGGTCTGTTATCTCAGCTGTGGGACATCACTGCAGCAGTTCTTGAGGGTCATGCCTCAGACGCCAACGCTCACAGACTTGCTTCATTAATAACATTCCTTCCATCAGAAGGTCAGAAGTGGGAAATTTCACTGATGATTGCACCATGCGCAAGACCATTCACAACTCCTCAAATACTGAAATCAGTCTGTGCCCATAAGAAGAAAGACCTGGACAATATCCAGACTTACACTGATAAATGGCAAGAAAGATTTGTGCCATCTAAGTGCCAGGCAATGACCATCTCTATCAAGAGAGAATTAAAACATGTCCCTTGACATTCAGTGGCTTTGACATTGCTAAATCCCCCATGTTATCAACATTCTGAGAGCTTACCGCTGACCAAAAGCTAATGTACAATTTAAATACTGTGGCTACATGAGTGGGGTAGATGGCATATAGTGGTAATGTCCATGGGCTAGTAAGCCAGAGGCCCAGGCTAATGCTTTGGGGACACAGGCTCAAATCAATGAATTTAAAACGCAATACATTAATTTGGAATTGAAAACGCATCTTAGCAATGGTGAGTATAACAATCGTTTGTCATAAGTACATCTCGTTCCTTAATATCCTTTATGGAAAAAAGCCTGCCATTCCTTGCCAGTCTGGCTTCAGATCCATAAGAAGGTGCCCTGAGGAATGTTAAAGAACTGAAAAAAAATCAGCAGGTCAAACAAAACCTGTCCACAACCAGCAAGACACGTCAGAAGTGCAATGGACTTCTCTAAACTCACCTGAACAAATACAGCTTGAAGAACACTCAAGAAACTCAACGCCATCCAGGACAAAGCAGCCCACATTATTTGCAACCCATAACTGCTACACAGTAGGAGCAGCTTGTGCTGTCTACAGTATGCAATGCAGCAACTCCTCACCACTCCTACAACAGCAACTCCCAAGACCATGAGCACTATCACTTAGACACGGGCAGCAAACGCACGAGAGCACTATGACCTGTACCTTCCATCCATGTTGCATGCCATCCCAACTTGGAAATACCTTTCTGATCCTTCCCTGTTTCTGGGTCACATTCCTGGGACTCCCTTCCTAACAGCACTGTGGGTGTAACTACACTATATAGAATGCAATAGTTCAAGAAGGCTGCTCACCACTGTCTACTCCAAGGCAGTTAGGGATGAGTGCAGAAAAGTGTGAAGTAAAAAGACAGTATGCTATAAATGGTAACATCTTGAAAAGTGCAGATGAACGGAAGGATTATAGCATCCACATGCCGAAGCCCTTAAAAGATGGCAAAGCATATGGGTGACCTGGGCTTTCAAATAGAAGCTAGAACTTTATACATCACTTCAACTTCATTTAAACATTCTGGGCTCCAAATTTCAAGAGGGATATAAAGCTTTAGGAAGGATATAAAAAAGACTACCAGGATATTACCAGGGATGAAGGACTTCTCATCAGGAGTAGTTGGAGAAATCAGGACTTGTTTTTCTTCAAACAGAGAAGTTTAAGAGATGATTCAATAGAGGAGTTTAAGTTATTGTAATGTTTTGCTGGAAAACCTTTTCTGTCTGGCAAATGGATCAATAACAAGGAGACCATAGATTTAAACATGCTGAGAAATATTTGGAGAGAGAATTTAGAAGTTTGTTTTTCCCATTCAGTTGTTGGGATCAAAAATACTATACTTGGAAAGGAAGTGGGAGCTGCTTCATAAATAATTTTGAAGCATAGTTGACAGATGCTGGAAGATAAGGAGTTTCTAGGGCCATAATCAAACAGCATGAGCTTAGGACTAAGAACGACTGCTCTTTTAAAGAATGAGCACAATAACACAAGTTTTTTTTTTTATTCTGAATGCCTTTTAATTCAGAAGGATTGACAACACTTTTATTGGCACAGACACAAATGTACATGTAACTATACTGTATATAAATATACAAGTATAGGTACAAATACTGCAGGGTGCATAATAAGGTAGAAAATAATGTAAATTCACATCATATCAGAAAAATGCAACTTTTATCACAAGGCATTACAGTTTATAAAAAGCTATAAAATAAATACTTTTGTGCAGACAAGCATTTTCTCTGCAGTACAAACAGTTCTTCAATATTTGTGGATTTTTCAGATAATTTGGTGTAGAACCCAAGTCCATAAGCAAACATGCTTGCACAGAGGAGATGAGGTAAATCAAAGAGTAACTGTTTGGTGATGCCATGATTTAAAATCCTACAAATTGTTGTATGGAAAAAAGACATAAGGAAATAAAGAGTTCAAAGTTTTGAGCTGCTGGAAGGTTAATATTAGGAATTGGAATAGATCACTCAGACTCAAGTCTGTCTGCCATTCAAGTAGATCATGGCTGGTAGGTACTCCACCTCCATTGACACAACTTAGCTCCATTTCATAAACACAGAGCAATCAATCTTTACATAAAACAATTTCTTTTTGTATTTTATGAGAGAAGCTTCCTATAGAAGTTCTCCAAATGTATGACAAAGCAGACATTCCTGAGATTGCTGTTTCTACCAACATAATAGCACCTTCATAAATATGAACACAGGATATCTCATCTCAATTCCTTCTTTAAAATATCCAAATCAGGTAAACACCCATACCGATTTGCTACCACAAGTATGCTGGTGTGGGAATCCTATCTCAAAGTCCAGAGCCAGGGGAGTTTGAGGTGATAGTTAGTGTGAGTGATCTTCACTTGTAGTAACAGAGTAAGTGATCTGTCCTCCCTCCCAACCAGTGCAGTGTCACACTGTTTCAATGTGGGGTTGGAGGTCACGGACAGACCTGGAGGGGAAAAAACAAACTAAAGCAAAATACTGCAGATACTGGAAATCTGAAAAAAACCCTGAAAATGCCAGGAATAATCAGCAGGTCTGGCCACATCAATGGATGGAAAAAATTGGTCTTTGCTTCTCTCTCCACAGGTGTCGCCTGCCCAGTTGAGTATTTTCAACATTTTCTGTTTTTAATTCCATGGCATTTTTAAAAAATTTTCCTTAGCGAAACAAACAGTACTTTTTTGCCAAGTAATCAGTCACTTCTAGGATTGGTTACTTTTCTCTCAGGAAGTTCTAGGGCTTTGAGTAGACCATAAAGAAACTCAGGCCAGTGGATAGTTTTTTGGTCAACATCATAGAATTCTTGGGCAATATTGAAACTTTCCCAGACATGCCCCATAATCATGAATATATGGTGGAATAAACACTTGCCAATGGACTTTCTCCAACTGAAATTTGGAATCTGATGAAAATTGATCTCATAGAACATTCCACCCAAATTTTGGTTCACCAAATAAGGAGCCTGATCCCACGTTTTTGGAATCACAGGCGCTCACTAAAATTGATCAGATCGTATATAATTTGATTTCCAGAAGAGCAAAGAATAAGATGAATGAAGTCTTACAGTACAACAGAATGTACTTACCCTAAAGAATGATATAGCTTTCTCTCTGTCCCCAGGCCCATTAAAAAACACATCTCCAGCTGCTTCAAAAATTTCCAGTGCGAAGTCCAAATTTTCAGTACTCACTGCAGCATCTTGAGCAACCTTAAATTTTTGTATTACAAAACGTTTGCATAAATCAGCATTATCATCATGTTGCAAATCTTCTTACAGCCCAACTATATTCACAAGTTGAATCCTGAACAGGTTGACATTTGTTCAATACTGTACTGAACTGTGAAAAAGTCAAATGAATCAAATATATGATCTGAGATGATACTCTGCAGGGCTCTCCCAGATCTGGGATCTAAATATGTGCATTTTCAAGCAAGGATCACTGAATCATTGTTCCATGAAGTTGCTTCCTGAGTAGATTGGAGTAAAGTCTAAAGCATCTCTCATCTGTATGATACCATAACAGATGGGATGCTGCATTTGCTCATTAACCCATTAAAGAAGCTGGTCCTATCTTTTTGGTATGTCCTAAACAAAATCAGGAACCCTGATGTTCATTCAATTCATCAACTCTGAAAGTTGGATAATTATATTTCCCCATGGCCGTGCTAATTTTTCCCCTTAATGTGTGGTAACTATTTTCCTTTTGAAAGTTATTAAATGTGCTTCTGATACATTGAAATAAGTGCAGTGCAACTATAAGTTAACAGCTTCCAAAAAAAAATTCACCCTTTCTTGCCTCTAGATATGTTATTATTTACTTTAAATACAGGTCTCTATTTACTGACTACCCTCCTTATCAACTCTACCAAATAGGTCATTTGTAATACCTTAATCATCTTTTAAGCAGGAAGAACAGCCTTAGCTAAATTTGCTAAATTGTGCTAGGTTAGTGGTGCTGAATGAATGATAAAACGTTTGTCATGTCTAAAGAGAAAATTCCTCAGCTCTTCTTTGAAAGAATGCCATAAGATATTTTATATCCCCTTAAGGAGTCAACCTGCCTGGTTTAAATTTAATTACAATGTGGCAATTAACTGTCAGTCATCATCACCTGGTACATTTGCTACTGCAATTTCCCTACCAGGGTGCACTTGTCAACTGATCAGCATGGTCTTTTCGTTATAAAAAAAAAATGTTGTTCCCCTTTATAATTTTTGTCTTTCAGTGAATGCAATAGCCATTTATTTATGATGGTAGTACTAAAATGCTGAATAGAAATGAATTAATAGGAAGCATTCCTTTATTCCAATACTTATGACAAAAGGGAGTAATGATGGCACTAAATGATTTACATCTGTGAAACTTCTCTGATCAATGACTTTCAGCTGCTAAGCCGAGTTCATTACTCCAATAATCAAAAGTGGTAAATTGAGGTTATGATAATTGATTTTAGCATTCTCTTCGATCTTGTGCAAAGTACAGATAATGAAGCATCAAAAGGAGAAAAGATAACCTTAATACATCACCATGAATAAAGATGTAAACCACACTGCTGGTTGATCTCTAAAACACAATTTCTCTCTGAACGGCAGAGATATAAATGTAGCAAATCCACGTTTGTGATTAATTCTAAAGGGGATACAGCTAGAAAAATGACCATTGAGCTGTTTTCAGTGAGGAACAACTGCAAACCTGCAAAACAAAACATCTAAAAGGAAAATATGGACTGGTGTGAGTTCTTTGTCTCATAATTTGCCAGACCTGAAAATAATGAATTATAAATATTTCACTTGGAGAAACGAGGAGTTTGTACACAAACTGTACATTTTGTGGTGGATTGTTGTGAAGAAGTAGTGCCTAGCACTTGATCACATTTACTAACATTATTATCTAGTTATGCATAAAACTTTAAAGAGAAAATAGATCATTTAGATTAATATATGTCCTGATTTGTTTCAAATTATTGTATTTTACCTGTATGTACATATCCACCAATTCATTTTCTCCCAGAATGTAATATATCTTCCCAGCCTGCAGCCAAGCATATGCTTCCTTCTCCTTCTTCTCCAGATCTATGAAGATTCCAAGGCTCCGTTTGGTATACTCCAGTGCTGATCTGAATGCCCTAAATTTAAAAAGGCAAACTGCATTACCAGATTGGGTGGTACATCAAATTACCACATCGTCTGTTCAACACTGCATTATGTGACAATAAAAAATGGACAGTTCCTGATTGCAATGGTCATACATAAACTCCTTTTAATACAATCTCAAGATGTTTCTAATAGGGCTTTTCTGCAGAACTTTTCATAAAATCAAAGCAAAATCATTTACAAAAAATTTTACGTAAACTAAAAGAACATTCATGGTCAAGTACACTTGGATTCTGTTTATTTACCTTCAAAAAGCCAATGTGCTTTTTCACGCTGCATCTTTACAAAGCAATGGAACACTTGCCAGAAGATTTCATGTTAACATTCAAAGAGAGGAACAGTAAAACTAGTAAGGTCTCCTTGAGGAGCAAAAATACTCATTACACTGTGTAGGGGTCGGGGGTGGGTGCAAGCATATGCACATATTTATATATGGACAACAGTGTCATACATACAAGGTATAATTATACATTATACAGTGAACAGAGATCAGTTTAAATACATTTAGCCTCGAAACTTTAAAATACTCTTCCAAAGATTGTGATTGAGTGTTACATACAGAGTAGAGTATTTACAAAAAAAAAACCATAAATACTTGGAACCAAAAACAGAAATGCTGGAAATACTTGAGCCTGCAAAATCAACTCCATTTCGTCCTCCACCTAGCCAGCTTTTAGTGCTTTGATTTCAGATTTCTAGAACCCTCAGTATTCTATTGCTCAATAAGAGTAAATACCCAGACTTGTCCCCAGTGGGAGATGCTGAAAAACTGTACACCACTTATGAGAGAGGAATGGCAAAACTAAACAATATTTTATTTCATAAATCCAGTTTGCTCTGATGCCTTGCTATAGACAAAGAAAATATAAAAATTGCTTTTGCCTATCTAACTACACCCAGCAAGTGAGATGCACTAAACATACATAAAATTCTATTGCAAACATTCAACTTTTTCTTCTCCATTTAAAATTTACCAACAGAAAAACAATAGGAGGACTTGTAGTAATTGATACATGTAACTCCACAAAAAAAAATCTCATGTTTCTGCTTTGTAGCCAGTTAAGATAAAAAGCTCTTCACATTATTACAATTCAAAGGCTCTTTTCAAGCATACACTGAAACCCAAATTCAATTGCTTTTAAGACGCTTTTAGTCTCCTCTAGTGTCCCTCTCGAGGTTCAATGGATAACAAGGTTGCTGCAAACCTACTGCAGATTATGATAGTCCCCAAAGCCAATGTGACAAAAATGTACACACACCACCCATGGAGCTTTGTCCGCTGTATAGTTTCACAGATCACTTTAAACATTAACATTTTTCTTAAAAACTCCAGGATGTAATATATACACATCTTAATTATTTCTTTTAAATCTGTTAGACAAAACTTTTCATGCAACTCTGAAGTTCAGTGGTGTTTTGCCATGAAATAACTATGATTGCAGGAATTCAACATTTCAAACCTTTTCTTTTGAAAACAAACAAACAAACAAACAAACAAACAAACAAACAAACAAACAATCTTGTTGCAACTGGTATAATCAAATGGTATACTTTCAGGGAGGGAATGGCCTACTGGTATTAATAATAGATTATTAATCCAGAGACCCAGGTTCAAATCCATCATGGCAAGTCATGGAATTTAAAATTCTGGAATTAAAATTCTAATGATGACCATGAAACTGTTTGCAATTGTTGGGGGAAAACCCATCAGATCCATAAACGTCCTTTAGATTTCCTTCCATCCTTATGCGACTCAGTCCCACAACAATGTTGTTGACTCTTAACTGCCCTCTTGGCAATTAGATGTGGGCAATAAACACTGGCCCAGCCAGTGATGTCCTCATCCCATCATCGAATGAAAACAGTCGGGCAGACAGGAGAAATCATTATTACATTAAAAGGGTTTGGGGCAGTCAGTCAATTTAGAGATTAGGTACAGATCGAAATACATCATTAACTACTTATTCACTAGAACGTATGATATGAACTATGAGCAGGCAATTCAGCCCTCAGGCCCACTCTGCCATTTAATACAACCCATGACTGATGACCTCAACTTCACTTTCCAGCCTGCTCCCCATAGACTTTTAAATTAGTAGTGGGTTGAAGGGCCATCTCCTCCTTAAATTTACTCAATGTCCCAGTATCCACTGCATGTTGGGGTAGTGAATTCCACAGATTCAAGGCCATTTGAGAGAAGTAATTTCTCCTCATCTATGTTTTAAATCTGCTACTCCCTGTCCTAAAATTATGACATCTCGTTTTAGATTGCCCCATGTGAAAAACATCCTATCTACACATGCTTTGTCATCTTCTTTAGCATCTTCTATATTTCAATTGGATCTCCTCTCCCAGAACTGAACTCAAAACATTAACTGTGCTTTCTTCCCACTGATGCTGCCAGGCCTACTGAGTTTTTCCAGGAATTTCTGTAACAATGAATCTCTGCTTTAACCAAATTAACATATCTCAGGTCAGTGTACTTATCAGCTCAAATTTTGGGCCATTTTAGATTCTAAGGAGACGCATGCCTGACCCAAACAACGTTCCAGTCATGAACTTAGAGACAGGCTTGTGGGTATACTGCAGAGTTAGAGGTGGAGATTTTCTGCAACAGACCACCTGGTGCAGTGGGTTGAAGAAGTTTAAGGTAGCTGCTCAACTGCCAGAGAATAGAGTCTCTTTCTGAAAGAAAACATCTTGTTGTTGGAGCCCAAGTAGGTTAAAAAAAAAACATTCACCACCTAAAAAAGGCATAAACAACAAATTTGCACCAAATTCCTCTCTTTGACTTTTTAAAAATGCAAAGTTGGATATCCAGTAATTATTAGAACACTCATGATAAATTTGCAAAGTTTACAGGATGCAGAATAATAAATTTATGTACAAAGAAAAATGATTCCCCCATCACCACACACCAGTGGAATCAATCACAATAACTGACTATCAGCAATCATTGAGCATCACTTGGTTAATCTCCTTTACCTTTCAGTTCCCAGGTTGAGGTAAAGTTGACTGGTGTTCTGCAAAACATGTCCCTCCAGTTCTTTGTTCATCAGTTTACGAGTGAGGTGGAGCAGAAACTCATTGTAGATGATGCACTGGGCCTCATTAGGTAGGACAGAGTTGTAAAACTGACATAGCAACTGAGTGGCTCGTACTTGCCCTAGATTCAAAAACAAAAACTCAAGCAAAAAGAGCAGAAGGTGCTGGAGAATAAAGGATAATGACTGCCTTACTGTTTCCAAATCTTCGAAAAATTTTAACCAAATTTGCACCCCATACATTATTATTACAGAGCCCATACATGCAGTAGGATGACAATAAGATTGAAGGCATTAGTTAACTCAGTTGCAAGAACTAACTCCGAGACAAATTCTCTATCTTCACTTGGCAGCAGGTCCAAATGTTCCAAACAGTATCACAATAGTGAGTCGAGTAACACTGATTTATTGCCATTAGAACAACATGCACTGTTTCCTATAGTCTGTTCCTCCACATTTTTGCACATGAGCTCTTGTATGCTTGGACATGAATTTCACCAGCTAATCCAAAGGATGACAAGAGAAGAAAGACCAAATTCTCAGTGTTTGTCATTGTGATCACAAACCAGTTAGAGCTACATTTTCATCTGTCCAGTTCAGATGTACATAAACTCAGGAAGAAGGCCAGCAGACAGCAATAGCAGATTATTCTACTATTTTGTATCTTTTATCCCAAAAGATGTTGAGAAGTTAGCAGTAAAAAGCTTTAAGACTATTAATGAAAAGGGAGTTCTAGGTGCCAGCTTGCATATTAAACACCATTGACTCTGCGAATAATTTGCTCTTGTTTCCCAATAAACTGCTAATTATTAGATTTTATTGTAGTTAGCAGCCTAAACTGAACAAAAGACGAACTTCCTGTTTCATACTTCAAGTGTCATGGCAGCCAGAGCTAACAAAACTGTTTTGATTAAACTTCCTGCTATCTTTGCAAGGCAGCAGAAAAATGATAGATTTGTATCACATAAAAGACTCGGGAACAATTTGAAATAATTATTTAAAATAACCGAGAATAGTTTCATACCATCAGCTTCACCACAAAACCCCCAAAAGGAGAGGTGACCAGATGTCCGAAACACCTGTCTCCATCTATACTTTCAGGCGTCAAAGAAGAATCACAAAAGGGAACAGCTGAGCTTGCCCCACCACCCTGTGTTTTCCTAATGTCAATATGCTCACGTTTTAGAGTGAATGCAATATTTTTGTGCCTGTTGCACCAATTTGTTGAGTGGCAACAGTTACAAAGCTAAATACTGCAGATACTGGAAATCTGAAGTTTCAAAGCAAAACAGAAATGCCGGATACATTCAGAAGATCAGGCACATTTGTGGAGAGATGAACAAAATTAGCATTTCACATTAACGATATTTCAAAACAAAGGTGCTGCCAGCTCTGCCGACTGGTCCATGCAATAATTAATACAGTTTACACGGCAAGCTATGTAATCTGATTAAGGAATGAAATAAGGTGGAAAACAAACCACATTATTCTGACTCTGCTTTCCAACTTGTAGAACCTGAGGTTTTGTGCCTCTTCCACTCTATGGTATTTCTGCCATCCTTCTGTAGGTCCACTGAAGTCATAGCAGATTTCAGAAGAACCCTGCACAATATCAGGGTTATCCTGATTGCAGACTACAGATAGCCTGTCATAAGTTTGTGCTTCTGAAAACATGCTGCACACCAGACAACATTTGAGATATAATGAGGCACCTCTGAATGGTCAAAACAATTGAACTGTGTGCAAGCATGACAAATACCTGTTTAATGAACACAGTGCAGTTGCAAGGATTAGGATATCGGCTTTGCCTTTATGTAGGATTGCAGACTGCTGTCATCAGCCGCTGTTGTAGTGCATTAGCCAGAGCTGTGCAGTAACAGAGCCTCCAGTTTTCCGCCACCCCCACTTGAAAACATTGTAAGGGTACTGCATCATCTCACAATACCAGCATTGTGGCTGTTGCCAAGTAACAAGTCATTGATGAACAAAACTAGTTACTAATTTCAAATTGTCTGCACTTCTAACCAGTGAAACTCCCGTGATCAGTCACCAGAGTAAAGAGAGAGTATCATATAATCACAACTGGAAATCAAAACTTATAGATGCCACATGCAATAGAGAAGAGGGTCCCAGTAAAATTACATCAGCAAGCAGTGTGTTAATAGGGGAACACAGCTGGAGGCAAAGTGAGTACTGAATTAATTAACATAGAAGCAAGCACATCGAGAAATCCATAAATGACTGGAACAAGAGTATTACACACACACACACACACACCAGCAAATCATGTGAAGTATGCAGTATTGCAGAAACAAACACTAATGAACTAACATTCCCTTCATATTTTTGCCACCACTTGTCTTTACAGTGACTGACTTTCATCAATTTCACTGATGGGTTACCTTCAAAGTCTTGAGTAATTATAAAAGCAAGTGACAAAAATCAGAACTTCCTTCAACATGACGGAGAGGTTTGTCATTAATTGAGCAGCATAGACGAAGAAAAAAAATGAAGTGAAAGGGCCAGGGCAGAGGTGGTGAGGGAAAGGGGAATCTGGATAAATGTGAAGTATTTTGTTTTGGTACAAACAGGGGTAGAACTTATGCAATTAATAGCAGGGCCTTGGGTAGTGTTGTAGGGCAGAGGGACCTAGGGGTTCCGGTACATAATTCTTTGACGTTTGCGTCACAGAAAGACAGGGTGGTTAAAAAGACACACTTGCCTTCAGTGCTCAGTCCTTTGAGTATAGGAGTTGAGATGTCATGTTGAGGTTGTACAGGGCATTATTGAGACCTCTTCTAGAATGCCGTGTCCAGTTCTGGTCACCCAGTTATAGGAACGATATTAAGCTGGAGAAATTTGCCAGGATGCTGCTGGATGTGGAAGGTTTGAGTTATAACGAAAGGCTGAATAGGCTGGGACTGTTTTCACTGGAGCGCGAAAGGTTGAGAGGTGAACTTATAGAAGTTAAAATCATGAGGGTACAGATAGGATTAATGGTAGATGTCTTTCCCTAGGATGGAGGATTTCAAGACTAGGGGGCACATTTTTAAGATGAGAGGAGAGAGATTTAAAAACCACGAGGGAAAGCTTGTTTTTTTGAAAACACGGAGTGGTTTGCATGTGGAATGAACTTCCTGAGGAAGTGGTGGATGTGGGCACAATTACAACATTTAAAAGACACTTGGAAATATACACGAATTGGAAAGGTTTAGAGGGATATGGGCCAGGAGCAGGCAGATGGGACTAGTTTAGTTTGGGATTATGGTTGGCATGGACTGGTTGGACCGAAGGGTCTGTTTCGGTGCTGCATGACTCTATGATTCTAAATGGTGGTGACATCACAGTGTCACTCCACTCCTCCAGCTGTAAACTGCTTTACCAAGCCATAAAACAAGTGGGAGTGGGGTGGGCTGGACGAAGGAAATTGGATGATTTGCCCGCCTCAATTGTAGCGAACCAAGAGCAGGGGAGGATTGCAACTTCACCTTCAGTGTATCCCAGCTCTCTTTATACCTATTAGGTGCAGCTAGGAACCACATCACAGATCCACAGGCAGCCACTCTGCTAGCTGCTGTCAAACAGGAAATACATAAGGCAAGTGTGAAGTTAGGGTGCCAGATAGATATGGGAGAGGATACCAGCTAAGTAGCATATGAGCTGTGTAGGGTTCATCTGGTTAGAGGACCCATTAGGTAGGAGGACAAGTGGGTAGATAGTAGGATACTGGAGGTATGGTGCCAGGAGGAAGGTTAGCAGTTTGGTAGGGTATCAGCATTTAAAAGGTTGCAAGTGTAGGCAAGGGTGGGTAGGAGAAATTGTGTCCAGCAGATGGAGGGAGCATGGGTTTTTGGTTGGGGGCAAGAGGGGGTGGTGGTGTTAGTGGTAGTGTTGGCCAAGTAAGAAGGAGCAGGGTCAGCACCGAGTACACAGGCTGGGTCTGGTGTTGGTAGAGGGAGACCTGATCCAAAGCATGGCAAGAGGTAAGTGTGTTTGGGGGGTGAGAGAGGTAAGAGTGGAGTTTGTTCAATAGTTACTCAGGAGTTGATCTATGTATTTAACTTTTCCTGTGTCCCAATTTACTAATTTCATCAAAACCCTCAAAATACCCCGAATAAAATAGATTCTTTGAGGGTACCAGACGCTCAAGAATTTCCCAGCAGCATCTTCAATTTTCCAGCAATTCCTTTGGAATCTGGTTCGATAGGGATTCTGCAGGAGTCCCGTGTACAATTTCCATCTACTATGGAATAACGACTGTCAGGCCTTTCGAAAATCTGGGCTGCTTCAAAGTCAAATAAATAGGAGATTGAAGCAAGAGTAGAATACAAGGTCTTTTGAGCTTGTTCTGACTTTCAACAATATCATAGCTGATATTTGACTTCCATCGTACTTCCCTGCCTCCCTCTCTCGATTCCCCTAGCAACCAAAAATCTGCCTGTTTTAGCTTTATTAACACTCAATGACTGAGCAGCCACAAGCCTTCGACACAGAATTCCGAGGATTCACAATTAAGTGAAAAAAATTCTGCTCCTCAGTTTTGAACGGTTGGTTCCCTATCCTAAGGCAACACCCCCTAGTTCTAGGCTCCCTAACCAGGATGGATCAATCATTGAACATCAATGTACAGGATTCTTACAGCTATGCAGAGGTGGCTTTGGAGGTTGGAGGGATGGGAGATTTCAGGTGATTTCAGTGGAGGTAGGATCTAAATGGCCCTAGCTATCAGCTACCCAGCAAGTATATTTTGATATGGAAGGAAAGGAAAAACTACAGAGTACTTTCAGCTTTGGCCTCAAAGACCTGATCAACTGCAGCATTATTTGTTCCTCCTTTACTCCAGCCATCTTTCAAAAAACCCAACGTGCCATTTGCTTTCCTGAACATGAAAGTCAAAAGATATTTAAGAGTCTTTTGGAAATCCAAATATTCTACATCCATTGGCACTTGTGGCACAGTGGAAATATGCCTGCCTCTGGGCTAGGAGGCCTTGGTTCAAGTCCTAACTGCTCCTGAGGTGTATCAAAACATGGAGCCCTGCACTCAGCATTTTGGATTGTGTCAACATTTAATGCAAGTCCCTCAAGTGTTTTAATGATAATAAGAATGTATCTGTTTTGACTAACTGAAACATAAATTACTTGATCAGTAAAAAAAAAGCAAATACTTACTTTCAATAAGATTTGCTTTCAGTGCAATTAGAAGTGCCCATTCATAACAAAACATTCCACTTTCTTTTAATTCTTCTTCAATGTAGTACTGTCCCAGTGTAATCAGAACCTGAAAAAAATTTTCTTCAGATGCAACATTTGTCAGTTCAGAGAAGATATGAATGGACTTTAAAAGAAATTGTTCAGAAATTTGATAAGCCTTTGACCAAAGGCAGAGCAAACCATAATTAGCATTTGTAATAGCTTGGTTAAATTTCAGTCCCAAATCCACAGAGATTGACAGGGCTTGGTGATAGTTCTTAGCAGCTTCCTTGACATTCCTCATTCTTCTCATAGATATACCAACCATATTGTAAACAATTCCCTGTTGGGTACGGCAACTCTGAACAGAAGGTGACTCCAGTATGGTGTTTAATAAGACAATGGCTTTAGCAGCTTGGCTGTTCAGAACGTGCAACCATGCAAAAGAAATGAGCAAAGGCACCATCTCCTCTGTACTAGTGAATACATCTGTGTTAATGGCCATTTTCATATAATGAATTGCTTCTCCATACATTCCATGCAATTTGTAAATCTCTGACAAGCTGTGGCAAAGTGCTTGGTTAATACGGTCCCTTTTGAGGATGTTTGCTAATGAAAGTGCCCATTTGAGGTAGGGTACTACTTGTGTTGGAATTGTGGAAGAGAGTCTACCCATTCCACAGAGCTTTGATGTCCCTTTCATAACAAAGCTAGCACCTCTCAAACAATCCATTAAAGTTCTAGTAGGCCGAATGCATGAAAGTTTGGCACAGCTTATAGCAAGGTTTGGCAGACATTTTCGGTAATATAATGACCCTAATGTAAAATGAAAGTCTAAGGAAGTCCTACTCTCTAACATCAACATATTCCTTAAAAACTGTAGTCTTTCAATGAAAGGCAATGCATCTTCATACTGTTTAAGATTTATATGAAGTTTAGCTAAAAGGAAGCATGCCCTCGCCTCAGCATGCTTATTTTCAGACAGCACTGCCTTCCCTAAAACGTATTTCAGAACTTCAGCTTCCATCTCAGTCGTACAGATGTAGTTTGGGATACCCAAGAGTAAGGCTGCAATTTTCTCAAAAATGGCAGAGCACTTCTCTTGGTTTTTCTGTTTCAAGTATATAACAACAAGGTTTGTATACAGAGCGATCAAGAGAAATAAATCAGTAAACTGACCCTTCATTACACAGAGAGCTTCTTCAAAATAAACTCTGGCTTGAGAGTACTTGAGCTTCTTGGCACACATTCTGCCCAGTAGAAAACAAATTCTTGTTTGGGCCCACTGCATCTGTCTCTTTCTTGCTGCCTCCCTTGCCACCTCAAGATAATGAACCACTTCTTCTTCACTAAAGCCACGAAAGATGGACGTCAGAAATGAAAAAGAGGAGTCATACAGATGTTTGAAGTACTTGCTGTATTCCTCATTATCGAGCATAACTAAGAAATGGTGGAACATTTCCGGATTGTCTAGGTTTCCTGTACGGCCTACAAACAACCAAGGCTCCTCTGAGTCAAGTCCATCCTCTTGGTCACAATTTACAGAAACCTGTTCAATAGATTCCTCCTCGTTGACTGAAGGGATAGGCTTTTCCTCTTCTAACCTATTTACAGCCTTATTCAGCTTTGTTTTTAACAAAGCAGGTTCTTGATTACTTGGAGTTTGTTGCTCTTCTGCAAGAAAATAATTGTTACTTAAATCGTATGTGACGAAAGAAAAACTTCAACATTCAAAGTAGAAGCCAGGGATCCTTGTAGCAGCCTATTTCACAAATACTTTACAATGCTGCTACAGAAGAACACTATTTCATTATTTCTAATATACACACAAAATGCACAAAACAGTTACATTTACACTTAACAACTACACAGAATTATCCACAAATTGCTTGACACTAACAAGTTTACAAGTAGAATTGCTTTGTAAGAGTCTAGTTTAAGAAAACATTGAGAAAACTGGCACACAGATTTAGCTTAGTTTACACTGGTCAAAACAACCACAGTAGAAGAGATCATTTACCATTTCATTATAGGCAGAACATATAGCAATGTAGGAATGGGTTCATTATCCTTTGCACCTAATATGTCATACTTCACGCAATGCAGACATCCAGAACTGGAATAATTTTCTGTTAAAGTGACAGCATACAATTCATCTCTGCCATTTTTTAAAAATAGTTGTTAAAATAAGTTGCAAAATCTATTTTGCACAAATGTGTTAACTAGTGGTCAGCCATAGGAAATTATATAGCCAAGCTATTAACCAAAATGTAAGGACCACTCAAACCAGATAAACAGCACAATCATGATCTCAGTCTCAGATATTCTGTATAGAATGCAGCACTCCTCATTATCATTCTTCAGTCTTAACCAATAATCTCTCCCAACTCACTTACCAAAAGCTGTTTAAATAACATTATTTGCTATTACTGAGTACCTTTTACAAATATACATAAAGTTTTGAGGGAAACTTAGGTTATACTTGGTTAATTTGGGAATCCTGAAAGAGAACCATTATAAAGCTTTACCTTCAAGTATTTTTGTGGTTTATCTTCTTTATTCAGAGCTCAGGTAGACTAGGTTGAACCCAACCACTTTAGTGCACATCGCAGTTTGAGAAAATAACTTACTTACACTCCTCTCAGAAGCTCATGGCCAAGATTAGGTCTTTAAGGAGAAGAAAATCCAAGTTCAACTTTGCAAATCTCTTTCTGAAAGTAAGGGACAGCAGTTTCCCCACTGCTGAACAATGCGAGCATAGGTGAGTCAATTGGGAAAAGATGAGGAGAATGGAAAAATTTGATTCCTGACATAAGTGTCCAATTTTCCACCCAAGGTATTAACAGCTAGATGAAAATTCCATGAGTGAGTGGCAAGGGGCCTATTTTCATGTATTAACAACCCAATACTACCAAATCTCATTTACAAATGAGTTGCTAGTTTCCCAGGCAATGGAGAAAAACTGGACGGTGCCAATTCCTAACACAAAAATCTGATCAGGTATCTGGCAGCTGCAGCTTGCCAATGTCTTCTAAAAGGGCCAACACCTCAGCCAGCATTCCCAACACCTCATGGGCAGTGATTCCCTGTTCCTCTCCTATCCAGGAGGTTGGCATTGGCCAGGAACCAAGCTCACCACATCCAAATGACATAACTCGGACTCAATTGTAACACAGTGCACCACTTCAATACTGTACTTTGAAGTTCACAGTCACCTTTCATAATGCTGCTACCAGGCCTCTGTGCACAGGGACAGGCACCCATCTCATCGATCAGAGCAAGATGCATCTCAGTGCTCTTAGCTTGGGTACAGCTTTTGTGGAGAAGCTGGTACAGTCAAGTGTGAGGATAGGAAGCAATGCAGAGAAGACAATAATTCTGAAAGGTGGGTGGGGGCAACTTGACATATGGGGGAGGGCACAGGTTACTATGGGCAGAGCACTTATCATCAATAGTCGCCAGTAGCCTGGCCTTGATCAGATGTGTGGGATAATGTATCATGATGCTCAATATAACTAAGCTGTAAACTTGGGGCTCAGGGATAAAGGAGGGGGAGATAAAGAGTTAAGTTAATAAGTTGGGTTGGGAATGTTTGGAAGTTCAAATCTAATTAGGTTGACAGAGAGTGCAAGGAAGAAAGGAAAAAGAAGATTTGAGGGGCTGAGCTTGTGATTTACTGTGTGAAGGGCTACCCATATTGACTTGCATCCTCATCTCAATCACAAATGCACAATGGAAATGAAAAACACTGTCACAGAGTGGAGTAAGTGTCCTACTCCTGTCTAGGCACGCAAGTTCTACTTGAGGTCCTTCAAGGGACTATTGCATTAATTAACCTGTACTGTGTGTGTCTAAAGACACTACAATCACAATATTCTGCATGTGAACTAGGCACAGTGACCAACCGTGCATGTGGGATACAAATCTTAGCTACAGTATTAAACATATTGATCACATATTGGTCACTACAGATTGATCACAGTCATCTCTATGAAGCAGGAGTATTCAAAGGTGACCCTACATAAGCATGTTGGATTATTTCACTGCATTGATAGTTGCTGTATAAACTTAAGCTGCTGCTATCGTTGTAGTAGTATCTTTAGTTTCAGTAACATATGATGGTACTCCCTCTCTAGAGTCCGTGCAGAGACGAATAATAAGCAGAACTCCAGAGAGAAGACTTTTGATAAAATAAAATGTAATAAACCCAGGTTCTTCAGCTTTGAAGAGAAATATCTCCAAGTGGATTTAAAAAAAAAACATTTAAAATTTTTAATAAACTGGAAATAATACTTTCAGATATACTATGAAAGCAGGGCATAAAAGGAATTGATCCAAGGTTATGCAGAGTATCGAAAATAAAAATTTAAAATTGGGACAGATTTCTTGATGCTTAGTACTCTGCCACGTGATAGAAAATTAAGGAGGGAGCGAGAGAAAATAAAAGCCTGGTTAAAGCCAAGACAATGGAATCCTAGAAAGAACAGTCAAAAGCTCTATGGGAAGATCACTAGGTTCTTATTCTGGAAATATCCCATCAGAAAGAAACAAACAGCCTTTTTCATCCAAATCTACCTGCTGGCTAAGACATAAGGCACTCATGAAAATAACTTTGCACACTGTATACATTCAAAAAAACTTGACAAATATTTTGATCAAAGGATGTAGCATTTTGATATAAAAGATAAGCTTAGTTACTCACCAGTATTGAAATACATTTTGCAAAGCTATTTTTATTTGTAAATTCACACATGCAAGAACATCAGAATTCGTTGATCCCAAATGAATAAATGATATCCTTTATAAATTATATCTAATTTACATTAAACTTGTTTTATTACCTTTTTCTTCATGTTGTGAATTCAACGTATCTGGATATAAAAAGGATACAATTGTGAGGGAGATCTAAAATTTGTTTAACCTGTTAGATGAATGCAAAACAGGTTAAGTATTCTGCACTCATTCAATTAACAGTATATGCTTTTTAAATAAAGGAAAACTGAGAACATCCCAAAAAGAGAGGACTGATAATATCTTTCAATAATATCTTCACAGATTGCACATTTCTGTTAAACATTTTTATAATTGTTATAGAATAAACTTATTGCAACTCTCTACTGGGTTGATATTGAGGTAAAACTGCCAGAAGCAACCAGCTTGAAAAATGTCCTGCATGTGGATCTGGCAGTTTTACAATACATCAGACATTATGGCTTCTGCAATGTGAACTAGTTTTTGACTTTAGATTGAAATGCAAAATCTGAAGTTGGAGAATTGGGCTGTTAGATGTAAATGCTCATCTTCTGAGCAGCCAGTTCAAAAGTGATATCAATTATCTTTAAACAATTGTAGAAGTCTACGATAGATTTATAGATATTGACTAGAACTTATGACAATAAATCATTGTGAAGTTGGTGAAGAAAGCAACTTAAATGGATGGGATATCAAAATCCTTATCTGCATCTGTCTCACATTTTCCAATGAATCGTCAACTGGTGCCCTGCAAGTCACATTATATTAGTCATTAGTCATTGGGGACTCCATAGTTAGGGGGACAGATAGGAGATTCTGTGGGAACGAGAGAGACTCGCGGTTGGTGTGTTGCCTCCAGGTGCCAGGGTTCGTGATGTCTCAGATCGTGTTTTCGGGATCCTTAAGGGGGAGGGGGAGCAGCCCCAAGTCGTGGTCCACATAGGCACCAACGACATAGGTAGGAAAAGGGATGGGGATGTAAGGCAGAAATTCAAAGGAGCTAGGGTGGAAGCTTAAAGCTAGAACAAACAGTTGTTATCGCTGGTTTGTTACCCGTGCCACGTGCTAGCGAGGTGAGGAATAGGGAGAGAGAGCAGTTGAACACGTGGCTACAGGGATGGTGCAGGAGGGAGGGATTCAGATACCTGGATAATTGGGGCTCATTCTGGGGTAGGTGGGACCTCTATAAACAGGATGGTCCACACCTGAACCAGAGGGGTACCAATATCCTGAGGGGGAAATTTGCTAATGCTCTTCGGGAGGGTTTAAACTAATTCAGCAGGGGGATGGGAACCTGAATTGTAGCTCCAGTGTACAGGAGGTTGAGAGTAGTGAGGTCATGAATAAGGTTTCAAGGTCGCAGGAGTGTACCAGCAGGCAGGAAGGTGGTTTGAAGTGTGTCTACTTCAATGCCAGAAGCATCCGGAATAAGGTGGGTGAACTTACAGCATGGGTTGGTACCTGGGACTTCGATGTTGTGGCCATTTCGGAGACATGGATAGAGCAGAGACAGGAATGGTTGTTGCAGGTTCCGGGGTTTAGATGTTTCAGTAAGATCAGGGAAGGCGGTAAAAAAGGGGGAGGTGTGGCATTGTTAGTCAAGGACAATATTACGGTGGCAGAAAGGATGTTTGATGAGGACTCGTTTACTGAGGTAGTATGGGCTGAGGTTAGAAACAGGAAAGGAGAGGTCACCCTGTTGGGAGCTTTCTATAGGCCTCCGGAAAGTTCCAGAGATGTAGAGGAAAAGATTGCAAAGATGATTCTGGATAGGAGCGAAAGTGACAGGGTAGTTGTTATGGGGGACTTTAACTTTCCAAATATTGACTGGAAACGCTATAGTTCGAGTACTTTAGATGGGTCAGTTTTTGTCCAATGTGTGCAGGAGGGTTTCCTGACACAGTATGTAGATAGGCCAACAAGAGGCAAGGCCACATTGGATTTGGTACTGGGTAATGAACCAGGCCAGGTGTTAGATTTGGAGGTAGATGAGCACTTTGGTGACAGTGACCACAATTCGGTTACGTTTACTTTAGCGATGGAAAGGGATAGGTATATACCACAGGGCAAGAGTTATAGCTGGGGGAAAGGCAATTATGAGGCGATTAGGCAAGATTTAGGATGCATAGGATGGAGAAGGAAACTGCAGGGGCTGGGCACAATTGAAATGTGGAGCTTGTTCAAGGAACAGCTACTGCGTGTCCTTGAGAAGTATGTACCTGTCAGGCAGGGAGGAAGTGGTCGAGTGAGGGAACCGTGGTTTACTAAAGAAGTTGAATTTCTTGTCAAGAGGAAGAAGGAGGCTTACGTAGAGATGAGGCGTGAAGGCTCAGTTAGGGCGCTTGAGAGTTACAAGTTAGCCAGGAAGGACCTAAAGAGAGAGCTAAGAAGAGCCAGGAGGGGACATGAGAAGTCTTTAGCAGGTGGGATCAAGGAAAACCCTAAAGCTTTCTATAGGTATGTCAGGAATAAAAGAATGACTAGAGTAAGATTAGGGCCAGTCAAGGACAGTAGTGGGAACATGTGCGTGGAATCCAAAGAGATAGGAGAGGCGCTAAATGAATATTTTTCGTCAGTATTCACACAGGAAAAAGACAATGTTGTCAAGGAAAATACTGAGATACAGTCTATTAGACTAGACGGGATTGAGGTTCATAAAGGAGGAGGCGTTAGCAATTCTGGAAGGTGTGAAAATAGATAAGTCCCCTGGGCCAGATGGGATTTATCCTAGGATTCTCTGGGAAGCTAGAGAGGAGATTGCAGAGCCTTTGGCTTTGATCTTTATGTCGTCATTGTCTACAGGAATAGTGCCAGAAGACTGGAGACTAGCAAATGTTGTCCCTTGTTCAAGAAGGGGAGTAGAGACAACCCTGGTAATTATAGACCAGTGAGCCTTACTTCGGTTGTGGGTAAAGTGTTGGAAAGGATTATAAGAGATAGGATTTATAATCATCTAGAAAGGAATAATTTGATTAGGGATAGTCAACACGGTTTTGTGAAGGGTAGGTCGTGCCTCACAAACCTTATTGAGTTCTTTGAGAAGGTGACCAAACAGGTGGATGAGGGTAAAGTGGTCGATGTGGTGTATATGGATTTCAGTAAAGTGTTTGATAAGGTTCCCCATGGTAGGCTATTGCAGAAAATATGGAGGCATGGGATTGAGGGTGATTTAGCAGTTTGGATCAGAAATTGGCTAGCTGTAAGAAGACAGAGGGTGGTGGTTGATGGGAAATGTTTATTCTGGAGTTCAGTTACTAGTGGTGTACATCAAGGATCTGTTTTGGGGCCACTGCTGTTTGTCATTTTTATAAATGACCTGGGTGAGGGCGTAGAAGGATGGGTTAGTAAATTTGCAGATGACACCAAAGTCAGTGGAGTTGTGGATAGTGCGGAAGGATGTTGCAGGTTACAGAGGGACATAGATAAGCTGCAGAGCTGGGCTGAGAGGTGGCAAATGGAGGTTAAATGTGGAAAAGTGTGAGGTGATTCACTTTGGAAGGAGTAACAGGAATACAGAGTACTGGGCTAATGGTAAGATTCTTGGTAGTGTGGATGAGCAGAGAGATCTCGGTGTCCATGTGCATAGATCACTGAAAGTTGCCACCCAGGTTGATAGCGTTGTTAAGAAGGCGTACGGTGTGTTAGGTTTTATTGGTAGAGGGATAGAGTTTCGGAGCCATGAGGTCATGTTGCAGCTGTACAAAACTCTGGTGCGGCTGCACTTGGAGTATTACGTACAGTTCTGGTCACCGCATTATAGGAAGGATGTGGAAGCATTGGAAAGGGTGCAGAGGAGATTTACCAGGATGTTGCCTGGTATGGAGGGAAGGTCTTATGAGGAAAGGCTGATGGACTGGAGGCTGTTTTTGTTAGAGAGAAGAAGGTTAAGAGGTGACTTAATAGAGACATACAAGATGATCAGAGGATTAGATAGGGTGGACAGTGGGAGCCTTTTTCCTCGGATGGTGATGGCTAGCACGAGGGGACATAGCTTTAAATTGCGGGGTGATATATATAGGACAGATGTCAGAGGTAGGTTCTTTACTCAGAGAGTAACAAGGGCGTGGAATGCCCTGCCTGCAAAAGTACTAGACTCGCCAACTTTAAAGGGCATTTAAATGGTCATTGGATAAACATATGGATGATAATGGAATAGTGTAGGTTAGATGGGCTTCAGATTGGTTTCACAGGTCGGTGCAACATCGAGGGCCAAGGGCCTGTACTGCGCTGTAATGTTCTATGTTCTATATAAACTACAACTTACGCTATCAAATACAAAACCCTCTATACAATCTTCAGCATATGCAGAGGTTTCAAAATCCTCTGGCTGGTCTTTAGGTCTCTGTGTCAATGTTCCTTTTTCATCTTTATTATCACCTCTTGCCTTACATCCTACCTGCAGGCTCCATATTTGCAACTTTAGTCTACCTTTAATTCTCCCACCATTGATCCACTGCACCGATTCTCCACCCCAACAACATCACCCCTTCTCTCTCCTGTAAGTTGCCCAAGTTCTTCCCTAATCCCACTCTTATTCCTAATTTGTAGTCTAGGTCCAAGATCCAACAATAACAATGTGTGTATACCACCTTTAACTTATGGATCACTAGGGTTAAACATCCATTCTGCAGTACACTCATGCCTTTGGGGAGCAGCAGGCTTGGGTCTTGATGGGTCTCTGAACACACCAATATCAGAAAAACAATAACCAGATGGAAAAAGCCCAGAGCTTTGCAACAAAAGGTTTTGGATAACAGCATCATTAAGAAATGTTCACACCTTGAGACAATGATTATTCTGAATAAAGAGCATATTCAATATCCAACAAGAAGAATGGTTTATTGCAAGAGACATTTTTAAAAATGTCAGCTACTGAATTGGCCACAAAATTTATATTTTTTATGAAATGGTTTCAAAAAAAAAAAAAACTGAGAACTAAGACGCAACTGAAAACTGATGCCACTTCATTTTGGTACCTACTGTCTTGTGGGATTTTTGGAATATGCCGTATTCTAGCCCTACTCTACTTTTTCTGGTAAATTAATGACTGCACAACTTCCTGGTCTCATCACAAATTGGAAAATTTAATTGACTGTTTTGAATTTCTATCCTTAACCCCAACCCCTAGCAATAAAAGGTCAAGAAATAGGGAAGGTTTGTTACAACTGTACAGCAAGTTGGTTAGGCCACACCTGGAATATTGTGCATAGCTTTGGTCCCTGCATCTTAAAGATTAGGATGTACTGGTATTAGTGGTTGTTCAAGAAAGATCCACTCGGCTGATTCCTGGGATGAGAGGGATTTACTTTCCATTAATGGCTAAACATGTTACGTCTTCATTCATTAGAGTTTAGATGAATGAGGGGTGACCTTATTGTAACATACAAGATTTTGAGGTGGCTTGAAAAGCTACATGTTAAGATATTTCCACTACCGGAGGAATCTCAAGCTCGGAGACATAGCTACAGAATAAGGGACAGTCACTTAAAAAAAGTAATAGATTTTAAGCTTTTCTTTTGCTAACTCATTTTCATTAAATTCTCTCTCTCTTTGCAATTCAAGTCTTTTTAATCCAGTTTCCCTCTGATATTGATTTACCTCTTCCCATTTCAAGTTTACTTAACTATTTCCCTTTGTTTTTCTCCCTCCTCTCTTTCCTTTTTGTATTCCTAAATTTCAAGTCTTTTAATTTCTCTTTCCTAGTCCAGTTTTATTCATTTATAACTGTAACTTAGCCAGTTCCTGATGTAAACTTCCCAATTTCAGGCTTACTTCTTTTGCCTCAATTCTGAATGCTGCATAATCACTCAAAGCATCTAATCCTTACAGGACCCAACTTTTACGTCAACCTTCAACTTCTTTGCTAAATCTCTCAATTTAGCTTTAGTCAGATTATAAATAACCCAATTATGTCTTCAACTTCCGGAAATCTCTTAACAGCATTCAAAGCCATCTTCAGATTTTGTGCAATAAACCTTACCACAACACATCTGCTTCATGTCCAGAACCAATGTTTGGCCATTGCTTTAACCAGACAAACCTCAGACCCCTCTTAAATCCAGCGAATTAAAAAAAAAATTCAGAGTTCACATTCACTATGATCCCAGCTGATATTACTGGACAAAGTCAAATCCCAGACTAAAACCTGGTTTGATAGAAGATATATTTTGTTTTAGTTTCAACAAAGTAGCCTCTTGCTGAAACATAAGCACACAATAACGCAGTTTATTTTAACAATAAAACAAAGTTTATTACCAAAAGAAATGACAATAAGAGAAATAAATTGAACTATCCACCAATAACAAATATTTTAAGCACACGGTACAAATATAATTCCATTAAATCCAAAATACTCCTTTATAAATTGAAAAAAAGCAGCTTTGGTACACTCACCAAAACACACCTTATATCATGCCCAAGAAATACCACTTGCACACTCATGCCAAAGTCCCTATCTCTAACACCTCACTAGTTTGAAGTCACTTGTAATTTAACTTATATACTGAGACTGCAGTTAGCTTCTTTCTGGATCTGTTACATATCCAAGTGTAAACATGACTTCTTCAGGGGTTTATTGCAAAACTTCTGATCTGGGACAAATACTGATTCTTTACTCCAAGGTAGTCTAGTTCTCACAATATTTTTTCCTTCTTGCAAGTGCTGGTCTATACAACCATCTTCATCCAAGAACCTCACAGGACTGCCCAAAATTCAAAGTAAAAACAAAACTTTCCATCTCTCTCTCTAAGCTATGAAGATTTCTTTTAAGCTTAGTAGGAAACGAAGTCCCAGAAATCTCTAACAATCCTACCCGCCTTGCTGAATTGCAAAACAATTCAAGGTAAAGAAAAATCTATTAGTGGTTCTCAGAAGCCCACTAAATCTAAAAGCTAGGTGTCAAAACTGTTTTTTTTTATTTCCCATGTCTACAGGAATACTTGCATGTTAATTATTAACTTCAAAGCCCATGTTACTAACAAAAAACAAAAATCCAAAATTACACAAAATTTATAAATTACAACTTACACTCTAATCAACTAATACTCAGTTCACACCCACAGAATCCTACAGCTACCTTGATTCGTTTCTGCCTCACTTCCTGCAAGACCTTTATTCTCATTCTCACTGTTTCTGTCTGAACAGATACAGCAATGCAATCTTTTACACCAGCATTTCCATTGTGTCCTTCTTTTTCCTTTAATTGACGATTCCACCCCCCTCCCAATCACATCCAGTCTACATCATACACCTCCTGTCAGCTCTTCCCCTAACTCGCAGAACCATGATAGGATTTATTTTGTCTTCAGCTTTCACTCCAGAAGCCTCCATACTAAGCAGATTGTCTTCTGCTCCTGAGATAGCAGGAACTGCAGATGCTGGAGAATCTGAGATAACAAGGTGTACAGCTGGATGAACACAGCAGGACAAGCAGGGTCTAGGCCCGAAACGTCAGCCTTCCTGCTCCTCTGATGCTGCTTGGCCTGCTGTGTTCATCCGGCTCTACACCTTGTTATCTCAGTCTTCTGCTCCTTTTGCCCACTCCAATGTGATGTCAACACTGAACACATCTTTCCTGATCTTTCCTTTCTGCATTCCAAAAAAGGGTTTTAAAAAAAACTGCAGATGCTGGAAATCAGAAACAAAAATAAATAAATAAATAAATATTGCTGGAAACAATTGCTCCAGTTTTGAAGGGTCACTGGACCTAAAATGTTAATGCTGCTTTCTTTCTGCAGATGGTACCAGACCTCCTGAACTTTTGCAGCATTTCTGCTTTTGTTTCCAAAAAGGATTGTTCCCTCTGTTATACCCTGGTCCACTCTTCAATCGCACATCTCCCCACCCCGAACATACCTCCACCCCTTCCTCCAACACCTTTCCATGTTACTGCAGAAGGTGCAACAGCTGTCCTTTACCTACTCTCCCATAATCCAAAGCCCTGAACACTCCCTGCAGGTGAAGCAGTGGTTTACATATAGTTTGTCCAATTTATACTGTATTCACTGCTCGCAATGCTGTTTGCTCAACATTGGGCGGGCCAAACACAGACCAGCCGACCCCTTCATGGAACATCCCCATTTAATCCATATGTGACCCTGAGCTTGTGATCATCTGTTAATTTAACACCCTACCTTGCGCTCATGCTGACCTCGCTGTCTTTAGCCTCCTGTAGTGTTCCAATGAAGCCCAACATAAGCTCCAGGTACAGCAGCTCATCTTTCCATTAGGCATTTTACAATCTTCCAGACTCAAAAATGAATTTAAAAATGTTAGATTTTAATTCCTGCCTCCATTGTGTTTTGCCTACTTCAATGGTTTAGTTTGGTCTTGTCTTGTTTCTTTCTCTATTCCTCATGTAGCATTCACATGGTTTGCTCTGTAGCCATTCATGCATCTTCTGGACAAGGATTTGCGAAAGAAATGAAAGCTATTAAAACTCCATGAAATCTTACGTCCTTTAATCTCTATAGCCCTCAATCCTATCACAGATGGTCTGTTTTGTTTCTTCTTTCTTCTACAAACTTAAAAACCCATTATATTCTATCCTTCCTCAGTTGCAGTGAAAGGTCATCTTGAATCTTAAGTGTGTTTCTCTCCACAGAAGCTGCCAGATCTACTGAGTATTTCTGGCATTCTTTGTTTTTATTTCATATGCCCAGATTGGCAGTAGTTTGCTTTTGTCAAAAATATATCAGATCAATAAGGAAAGCACCGAATTCCTTACAGCGTGTCTAAAAAAAAAGAGTCAAAATGCAGAAGACACTTGTACAAGTTATATAAAGTCTTTAAGGAGCAGTCTGATGGAAGGGAATAGAACTAAGCAAAAGCTTCAGGAAAGGACAAGGATAAAAGTGCCTTTAAACAGCAAATTATTATCTCAATTACATAATCTCTCTTTCTAGCCACCCTGCCATTCTTTTGATTTGCCTTTAAGTGCCTAACCATAGTGAAAATGCCATGTGGGATCAGATTCACATGTAAATCAGTCCAGATAGGGCAGGCAAGTCCTTATCCTCAAAGGTCTCAGTGAGTCTATTGGTTTTACTCTGCTAGCCCACAAAGTATTTTTTTTTGGCTTGAGTTGCAAGTTCAGTTCATAACCATGAGGCATTCAAAACCTACTTAAACTCTAGCTCATTAAAGATTCTTTCTTCTGTCATCCTCACTTACCCAATCGATAGACTACACTGATGTCAGTCTGCGTCATCTGCTTGAGCATCTCCAAGGAATCTTCTTCAATAAACTTATCCTGTTCCGTAAAATAGTATTTTTCTTCTTCATCAATGAACAGCAGATCATTTGCCCTGTGGACAACCAAATGTTCTGCTAAGTGTGATATTCTGTAACCAGCCTAAAAGGAAGATTAAGAGATTACTGCTGGCTCTCACAGTGAGGACTCCCCTGGCCTCAGCTCATCAGCTTCCAGTAATGCCAGAACTGGAACTGCACACTGGCATAGTGGTATTAATTCCAAGGCCACCTGTCTGTCTTGGCACACTACAGCTCACAGCACAGTGTGTAAGCATGCATTGTGAATTATAAAACTATTAAATATTATTTGAAATCCGTTACATAGATTGCATTGACAGCCATCAGCAGATGTCAGCAGTTTATTTGAGTAGAATGTTGTTATTTACCCACTTCTAACAGCGTACTTGGCAGCAAACAATGGGACAGAATTCTGAAACGTGTGTATAAAGAGGAAACTGCATTAACTTTGACTCTTAACTGTTAGAATTACAAGACAAATACAAAGCTGTGTGTATAATCACATACTTTAAAATAGCAACACGAAGTGTTAAAGGGTAGATGTATGCCTGCAGCTTCCCTGCAATGGTGTGGATGTAGTTGAGCATTATGTGTATTACAATCTGTGGTCCTGTATTACTACATTATTAAATAAGAACAGGGGAAGAGTAGTAAGCCAGTCAGTCCATTGAACCTGCCCAGCTGTTCAATACTGACCAAACACTTCAATGCATTTAACCCACACTATTCCTACAGTCCATTACACCACTGGAAAATAAAAATCTATTAATCTCCAACATAAACATACTCAAAAGGCAGAGCTTGGCACAGACCTCTGTGGTAGATAATCCCAGAAGGTTCAAAACCCTCTGAATAAAAAAAAAAATTCTCATCTTGGACCCAAGTGACATCCCCCTTATTTTTAAATTGTGCCGTGTGGTTCAAGACTCCCTAACCAGGGAAACATCTTACCTGCATCTATCCCTTTAAGCATCTTGTAAGCTTTCAAGAGATTACCTCTCATTCTTCCAAACTCAAGAGAATACAATCCTGGTTTACCTAATCTCTCTTCACCAGATGGTCCTGCCCAGGTCTTTGTTGCATTCACTCTATGGCAGTACTATTTTGCGTTAGATAAAGGGATCAAAAATACACAGTAATCTAGATGCCATCTAACTAAACTGCCATACAATCAAAATTAGAATTAATATTACAGGATTTAAATCTCAAGCAAAAGGTCACAATTTTTTGCAGTTTTGAGATATTCTAAAGTAGGGTGAAACTAATTTAAGTCACCTCATTTTTATTGAGCAACGTCTTCTGTCAGACAACCATGTCATTTCCTTGCTGGTAACTGAGGACATTCATGATGCAAACATAATCCACCTTTGCTGAAGAGATGTTTTAAATGGAACTGACAGAAGCAATTCTGATTCTCCAAGAATAAATTTAAAAATATTGTTATTAAAAATAACTGTTTCGGATTATATTGACCTAGATTTCATAACTGGAAAGAAAGCTGCCAGCAAAGATCCAATAACTGATGTGACCCGGTTATCCCCTCTCTTGATGGGCAATTTAAATCCGGTGTCAAGTCAAGGGGCCGTCTCAGCATACAGCAGGTAAGATATTAGTAGACAGACTGACAATCAATATGAAATATCTACACCAGCAACAAGAATGCTAACTACAAAGTTGAAAGCACTTAAAGCACTATGTGTCAGTTCCCCTCCAAGCCACTCACTATCCTGACTTGAAATATATCACTATTCCTTCACCATCACTGGGTTAAAATCCTGGAATTCCCCTTCTCACTAACAACCTTGTGGGTGCGCCTTCACCAAATGGACTGGAGCAGTTTGAAAAAGGCAGCTCACCACCACCTTTTCAAGGGCAACTAGAAATGGGCTGGCCCAGCCCACCGTTCATGAATGAGAAAAATAATTAGAGCATGTCAAGCTTACATAGGATCTTCCCATTATTAATGGTGGGCTAGGAACATATTGTAGAAAAAAAAAGTGACCAAGAATGTGTGCAGCTGCAAGATATTTCATACTTTATCAGATAGATATTAAGAGACTGGCCTATGATCCAAGTTACTAATTTTTACCTTGTGAAGAGTTCAAACAAAATCAATTGTTTAGGTTTGAAAATAAAACCACACTGTCAGGAGGTGAAGTATGTAAAATTAATTTACTAATTGTGACTCTGAGATAAACCTATCTACATGAATATATGAGAATTATAGAGAAGAAAGCAACAATGACAATGACAACAATTCATAGCAGGAGCAGAAAACTTGCCAATTCTGATGAAAGGTCACCCAGCCTAAAATGTGCTCTTCTTTCAGTCTCTACAAGTAACCAGCAGTTCTGCTTTTAATTCCAATTTCTAGCATTCCAGTATTTTTTGTTAGGATAAAGATTTCTGTCCATTAGTTAATTAGCATTGACACCCCTTATGTCGAGTACAAAGCAACTGCAAAAAAATTTAGTTACATATAGAAAATAAAAGTGACGATGCTGGTAAAATGTACCTGGCAAACTGCCCATTAAATTTTTCTTCCTGAATTCCCTTTTGAAGGCATGTGTCACTGCAGCATAAATTTAAATGTATGTTTCCTTTGTATCCAATCGTTTCAGGATAAGAAGAAGATATTTTCACTGGTAAATTCATTTCAGTACAGTGCCTCAATTTGAACTCCACCTGAGCCTATTGGAGAAACTCAAGATGTTTGACAACTTTAACTGACAATACTATTCAATAATTTAAAATGGACACAACAAAAAATTCCTCTCTCCCACAAACGGGAGTTTGGTTTGTTTAGCCTCTCCTCAGACCACAGAGCTTCACGTTAGAATCCTGGCTGTTCCTTATGAATCTCATCTAACAGCTTCAGGTAGTTCGGAGAGTAGGGCAATCAGAATCACACAAAAATTGGTTTAAATCTGTAGTGTGCAGTGTTAGTAATGAACTTGTTCAAAAATTTCTCCCTCCCTTTACTTGTATACTGGTTGGTTATTCTCAACTGCTTTTTGTCTGATATCTAATTCTCAAAACTTCATCAAATCATGTTGCAAATAATCAGAATTGTTTACTTTCACTTCATCTTTGAAGCTGTTCTTTTTAACCTCATGTATCATTTTGAAAGGAATGCCCAGCCTCCACTTCGTTATTTAAGAGATTGTTCTTCATTTATAAGATGGACAATAAGAGCAGCTGAACTGTAGGATGGATGTAACTTCATTCTGTGACCAGTGTTCACAACTTACCTTTTAAAGCAAGCTACTTACAGTGGCATGAAGTCTTCTGGCTTCATATGATTTATTTTCACAAATCCAATTCTTCTATTTGCTTCATTTCTCCCCAGAAACCACTGCAGACATGTACTGAGGAAGCCAACGATCTCAATTCTGTCACCAATCTGAAAGCTCAGTTCTTCAGGCCCAACACCTTCATACTCAACCTCTGCCACACACGATCCCTGTCCTGGCCAAATAGTTAAAACATATTCACTCACTTTGAGACACTGCCAGCTATATTTAATGCAGCTTTTCTTCAACCATTAGTTTTAAAACTAATGCCCCTTGAGACAAATTATTTTTCACTGTTTGTATCTCTTCCATAATTGATTCATATCAATGAACTGCTGTAAAACGTTAACATCTTACCAAGTGGATGAGGAAATTCTGCTGCCACGTTATTCAGTGTACCAATGCCTTCACTGTGCCTTTTGAAAAACCACCTTAAAAGCAGAGAAGATTCCAGCATGAATAGATTATACAGCTAATATAACGATTAAAATTAGCTAGTTGAGTCTGTATACTCTTCTCAGCTGGCAAAAATATGTTTACATTTATGAAAATCATGAAGGTAAATATACCTTTATTTTCATTTTCCAGAGATTTCCACCTTTCTCTTAATTGATACTACTTTCTGCCCATAGCAATGTATGGGAGAAAAATCATGGGCTGGCAATTGCTTGGTTGTATATGTTCTACATTAAGGCCACACAGAGGAGAAGACATGACTCGGAGGTGAGCTCGCAGATGATGGTTTTGCTCCCGTTGCCCTTCGTCTTTCCAGGTAGTCAAGGTTATGGTTTTGAAGGTACAGGCAAAACAGCCAAGGGGAGATGCTGCAGTGCATCCCATAGATCATATATTCTACTGTCATTGTGCACTGGCAGTTGAGGAAGTGAGTTTTGAAAGTGATGAACAGGCTGATCAAGTGGGCTGTTTTGTTCTGGATGATGTCACATTTCTTAAATGCTGTTGTAGCTTCATTAACCATACAATGGAAGAAAATACCATTACACTTCTGATTTGTGCCTTGCAAATGGTGGACAGGCTTGGAGGAGACAATAACTTTGTGATAATGTCACTTGGCTAGAAATCCAGAGGTCCAAGCTGACCATCTGGGGACATGGCTTCAAACCCTACCATGGTAGTTCTATTAATAAATCTGGAATAAAAAACTAGTCTCAGTAATGTTGACTATAATAACTATAATCAGTTTTTGTTATCTAGTTACGCATTTACTAATGCACTTTTGGAAAGGAAATATGGTAACCTTATTCATTCTAGCCTACACGAACTCCAAGCCCACAATGTGTTTACTTCTTGTCTTCCTAGCCAGGTCATGCAGGCAATTAGGGGTAAGCAACAAGTACTCATACCACATAAAAGAATAATAAAGACCAAGTATAAAAGGAGGAGAATTACTTACTGTAAAATTCCCAGCTTCTCCCTAAAATTCACTACCTTAAAGCAATAGGATCAGAGAAATTCTGGCACCTACTGATGAAAAGGGACAAGAAGCTCCATGTGAGATTTGGGAACAGAAATCTTCTTTCCACTGATCAGAGACTTTCCTGACAATTCAGAACCACTCTTTGCTTTATCAACAACAACAAGGTTATTCCCTCTGGGCTGCTGGTCATTTTCTTCATTTTTCTGAAGACTGAATGGATACTTCACAAAAAACATTCCTAAGGAAAAGAAAAGAATAAATGTGAGCCACCAAACCTTCAGTGCCTTCTACTTCTGACCCTACCAAAGTGTCTGGGATCAAGGAGATGTCATTCCATTTTAATATTGCACCCATGTGATATGACAGACCAATATCCCAACCCGGATGACTGCACTGAGACATTTAGAAATGGCCTGCAAGGGTATTCAGTGGCCCCCTTTGGATGTTCAAGTTATGGATGAGAAAACACCAAATACCTAAAATGGCAGTCCACCAGCCCAAAGGGGTCAAATCCTATCCTGATAATCCTAATGACCTTGTTTGAGGTGACACTTCAGACTTTCAGGCCCTTGACTTGGAATAAGGAATGCATAGCTGAACAGTGACAGGAATAAATCATTAGTTCCAGTGCTACTTGATGCTTCTAACTTAATAATTAGTTTGGGCTCATGTCAGTGCTAGAGATTGAAGCAATTTCCATTTCAGACATCCAATATTTAGTACCTGTAGTAAACACTCTGACATAGCATAATTAAATGAACCACAACATGTTTTTATATCAAGCAACTTCAAAATAGTGAAGTGTCCAATGGTGCTTCTTCACTGGTGCCATATCAAACAAAATGTGACACCAAGCTCCAATAGGAGGTTCTTGGACAAGTGTCGAAAATCTTGGTCAAAGAAGTGGATTTTAAAGTGGCATCTTAAAAAAATAAAAAGGGAAAAGAGCTGGGGAGGTTTAGAAAGGACATTTTAGAGCTTAATGCCTCAAGTCACTGCAGAGATGTTCTGGAGTGAAGGTGTCTGATCACTAACTACCTGTCACAAAGGAAGATAGTTGTGTTTGTTGGAGTTCAGTCATCTCAACAGGAGTTCCTCAGGGTAGTGTCCTAGGCTCAACCATCTTTAGCTGCTTCAAATGACCTTCTGTCCAACACAAAGTCAGAACTGGGGATGTTCATTAAAAATTGTAATATGTTCAGTACCATCCACGACGACTCAGATACTGAAGCAGTCCATGTTCAAAATATAGCAAGACCTGGATAATATTCAGCCTTGAGCTGAAACGTGGCAAGTAAGTTTTTTTTTTAAAACCATACAAATGCCAGGTAATGAATACCTCCAATAAGACACAAATCTTCCTTGACAATCAATGTCATTACTGAATCCCTGACTACCAACATCCTTGTTGTTACCATTGACCAGAAACTGAACTGGACTACCCACATAAATAATGTGGTTACAAGAGAAGGTCAGTAGTTAGGAATCTTGCAGCAATTAAACTCACTTCCTGACACCCTTAAGCATATCTATTATCTACAAGGCACAAGTTAGGAATGTGATGGAATACTCCCGACTTGCCTGGATGAGTGCAGCTTCAACAAACATATAAAGACAGGTGGGTGCAGACAGGCCAAGTACACTGGGGAGGGAGTTTGGTGGTAGATACAGATTGCAGGGGACAGAGGTGAAAAGTATGCCTCAGTGTTGTCAGGCTTTGACTCTGTTAGAATAGCACTCCAGCCCTTATTCCAAACACCTCATGACACTCCATATCCCTTCATGCCATCTCATAATCTCCAAACAACCCACATGTCTGCTCATGACCAACCCTCATCAGCATGCTGGGCTATACACTACAGACTGTATAGAAGCAATAAACACTACTAGCAATAATTAACAGTAGATGTAAAACCAAATATTCCTGAAGAGAGAAAAAAAACCAAACAATTACTCATTCAAAACTTCCAATTGCGTTAAAACAAAACATCTTTCTAACACAGGGCAATAAAAGTGTCAAATCGTTCAGACCCTTTCAAGAGCTGAAACCTCTCAACGTTACACAAATAAACTGAAATTGATAGTACAGATCAGACAAACAGTTGTCAATCATGCACTTGAACACTGAAACTGAGTGTAAATAAACTGAGGAATTAATACACAAAAGTGGGTGAATGGATATGGAAGTGAGATAACCTAGTGCGTGTGTTTCAAAAGGATTCCCTTATGCAGACCATGGCTCACTGAAACACTGGAGGTGCTGAGAACCAGTTTCTAAAATGCTGACCATTCTCCATGCAAGTTATGGAAGTGGCCATGGCTATGGCCATGCCCATCCCCAGAATGAAGCCAACTAGGTCTGGAGTGCCAGGTGTAGACCCAGAACCTGAACAAGCCATGCCCTTAAAAAAGGGCCTGGTGAAAAATCTGAAAACCTAGTACTGGGTTTGGAAAAACAGGGCTGGACTCCCATTTTTAAAAAACAGCTCCTAACTCAGCAAAAGTCCCGGCTAACATCATTCCCATTGTCTCTCTCTTTCTTTAAAATGGTCCTTAAAAGCTAAACTTTTGAACAAGCTCTTAGTCACATGTGACTTGATGTTAGTTGTTTCATAGTGGTCCTGTGTTGTGTTTTAGTGGGGACAATGGTGCTGTGTAAATGCAAGTTGATACTGAAGTTTTGGGAGAGACGTTCTTAGTTGAAATGCAATTCAAATAACAGATCCTCACCTTCCTGCAAAAGAAGCCCTTTGCACATCACTTTGAGAGACTCGTCACTTATCTGCACCTCAATCCTGACATCCTCCTCATCGAGACAATTCAGCCAAAAGCCTTGATCTAATAGTGCATTTTCCATGCAGTGACTAATCAAGCCTAAAAACAGCAACAGGAATAGTAATGGAAAGCAAGGCAGTGATCATCTAGACATCTACCAATCATTACTTTCTGTTCAGTAGTCCCAAAAGATCTCCACAACACAGATTTAAAAATACAGTTTACACTGTTAATGTATTTAGGTTAAAGTACAAATCTTCAAAGACATTTTTTTCCAGACCATTGTACAATGAATGTGGGTACTTTAAAATCAAAGATGAACTATAAGGAAAATCACCTGCACCTGTTATATTAAGACTTACAAACATACAAAATCAGGAGCAGGAAGAGACCATTCAGCCCCCCAAGCACACACTGCCATTTCGTAAGATTATGGTTACCCTGATTGGTAAAATCCACATTCCCTCTTATTCTCAATAGGTCATCACCCCTGGCTTTGTCCAGTGGCTCAGTGGTTAGCACTGTTGCCTCACAGCGCCAGGGACCCAGGTTCAATTCCACTCTTGGGCGACTGTGTGGAGTTTGCACATTCTCTGTCTGTGGGGGTTCCTTTTGGGTACTCCAGTTTCCTCCCACAGTCTAAAGATGTGCAGGCTAGGTGGATTGGCCTTGCTAAATTGTCCGTCGTGTTCAGGGATGTGTAGATTAGGTGGGTTATAGGAGAATGGGTCTGGGTGGGATGCTCCGAGGCTTGGTGTGGACTTGTTGGACAGAAGGGCCTGTTTCCACCCTGTAGGGATGCTATGATCTTAAGAATCTACCTGCCTCCTCTTAAACCTATTCAAGGCCTCCGCTTCCACCTTTTCCCAAGTGAGGTCCAAAGACTCAAACCTTGGATGAAAAAAAAAATGCTTCATCTGTTTTAAATGGGTAGCCCCTGATTTTTAAACAGTGGCCCACTAACTCTACAGCCACCTATAAAACGAGACATCCTCCCCACATGTACCTTGTCATGACCTCTCAAGATCTTGTATGTTTCAATCAAGTCACTTCTTACTTTTCTAAAATCCAGAGGATACAAGTCAAGCATGGTGAACTTTTCCCCTTGAGGCAACTCCCACCCAATTCCAGGTATTAGTCTGGAAAATCTTCTCTGAACTGTCTCCAATGCACTTACTTCCTTAAATCATGTGACAAATATTGCACTTCATACTCCAGTTATTGTCTCACCAGTGCCCTGTATAACAGGAACATAAACTCCCTACATTTGCATTCAATTCTCCTCACAATAACAGACCATTCTGTTAACTTTCCCATTACTTGTTCTTGAATACTAACCTTCAATAATCCATGCAAGACACCTAGATAGCTTCTGCATCTTGGAGCTCTGCAAGCTCACACCATTTAGATAATGCTTTTCTTTACACTGTTACTGCCAAAATGGACAATTTCTTATTTTCCCACATTATACTCCATATGCCACATCTTTTCCCACACTCTTTAATTATTGATTTCATTGTGCCCTGTTCACAACTTACCTTCCTACCTACCTTGGTGTGATCAGCAAATTTGGCAACCATAATTTCCATCCCTTCACCCAAGTCAGTTTACTGTTGTTTACAATTTATATAAATATCTCAGCACTGACCCCTGTGCCACACCACTTATTACATCCTGCCAACCTGAAAAAAAAGACCTACTTATGCATACTCTGGCTAGCTAACAGGAAGCAATCATCTATCCATGCCAATATGCTACACCATGAGTTTTTGTTTTTCCACAATAACCTTTAGAAAAGGTAAACTACATCAGAAGATCAAATGCTACTACCTAGTGAGTAGTATGTTGAAAATTTCCAAATTTCTTCAAATGTTTTAAAAGTAATCACAATCAAGTCTTGGTCACTGTGTATGGACAGTAGCCTGGCTGAAAGTTCCTAAAAAAACAGAAGAAAAATACATAATTAAATAATTACAAATAAATGTGGCATACCAGAATGATAAACTTGCTCTGGAAGAGGGCAACATTCTTAAACTCATCCATTTTTTTCTTCAAAAAGGAAACTTTGAAAAGCAACATAACGAGCAATTGTTATGCAAACATGTCCCATGGAAGGAGGGGCCAATTAATTCAGTTGGATGATTAAAAACAGCAAACACCAGAGAAACTTAGCATTTATGGCAGCATCTGTGGGGAGAGATAGAGTTCATGTCTCAAGTGTGATAGGATTCTCCTTCAGAAATCTGAGCGAAGTACTTGCCATTAGGCAGAATACACATGAATTAATTAACTTCTGATACAAGTTAGGAACATGTTATAAAAAGGGGAAACATGCAAGCTGATAAAGTTTGTGTTTTGGCATCACTGGGAAATTGTGCCTAAAATAGACTCTTTAAATCATGCCTCATTTTCCACAAAACTTTATCTGCATAATTATAAATGTAAAATGTTTCCATTGTCATGACTGCCGGTCAGAACCTCAAAAGTAATACGGGTGTTTTTATCTTGCAATTCCAAAATGTAATTGTTAAAAAAGAGGACTGATACAATAAAATGGCTGTGAACGTAAATTAAGTGCTTGTCTGGAGAGACAGAGACCCACAGAATGTCAGTCTGAAAGATGCAAAGAAAACTTCGAACAGCCATCCTTCAAAGGAGAGGAAAGAGGGGAGTCTAAACGGGCTGGATTGTTATCTTTGTGGACACAATACATCATGAGAGGCAGATGATGCTTTGCTCAATCGAATGCTGTCCTCTGCAGATTATGTCCTAAATTCCAGACACATCTTGTATCTTTCAAAAGGAAAAACACACAAGAACAAAGGTCAAAAAAACAGTTTTAACTCTACTGGAGTGTGCCATGGGCCTGAATGTTCCCATGTTTATGTTAGTGGGATTGAGGTTCTCATGTGTATTGGCCTGGGTTTAGGTGTTACCATGGTGTAAAGATCAAAAGTCAAAGAATAATCCACTAGTCACCTCTGTGTTGCAGGTGAAGGAGAGTCTCACCGAGTGCTGGAAATCAGCTGGCTAGCAAAATGTGTGCACATGCACCCTATGGTCTCACTTTAAAAATAGAATCATAGAATTTCTGCAGTGCAGAAAGAGACCATTTGGCCCATCAAGTCTGCACTGACCAGCTGAACAACTTCCCACCCAGATCCTATCCCTGTAACCCCACATTTACCCTGGCTCATCCACCTGGCCTACACATCTCTGGATGCTACAGGCAATTTAACATGGCCAGTCCACTTAACCTGCACATCTCTGGACTGTAGGAGGAAACTGGAGCACCTGGAGGAAACCCACACAAACAGAGGAAGAACGCGCAAACTGCATGCAGACAGTCACCCAAGGGTGGAATCGAGCCCAGGTCCCTGGAAGCAACAGTGCTAACCACTGGGCCACCATATCACTCTTGTTCACTGTTCCTCATCACTCATCCTAGAAAAATATATCAATTTATATTCATCTGCATTAAACAGCATCCACCAGGAGTCTTCCCAATGTGCCAGTGAAGTCTATTATCATCATCTTTATTGCTTATTATATTTCTGAATTGTACATCTGTGAATTTTCAAATTCTTCCATATATACCCAAATCAAGGCCATACATATATATCTCAGATACTCAAGTGGGTGGTGGTTCCAACATCAAACCCAGGTAATATCATTGCACTGTCTCTCAGTCTGAAAAAACAACTGTTCATCACTAATGAGAGACAACAAGGTGCAGGGCTGGATGAACACAGCAGGCCAAGCAGCATCATAGGAGCAGAGAGGCTCTCTGCTCCTAT